TAATGTTTATCGTTGCGCAACGGATCGAAGAAAATGGCGGCGCCGTTGCATGGGAAACAAGCGAACACGCTCTCGGTGTCTCTTCGAATAATATTATTCGATCGTGCTCCGTTCGGAACCGATGAATGGAAATTTAATCGTTCGAACGTTGTTACTCTCGTTTCTTTATTTCCCCGTTATCGTTCCTTGTTTTGCCGTCGCCGCGGCAATATCTGCGGCTATCGTTCGTTCGCGCTCCATTGTGCCCCAGAGCGCGGCGCTCCTCTCTCTCTCTCTCTCTCTCTCTCTCTCTCTCCCTCTCTCTCCCTCTCCCTCTCTCTCTCTCTCTCTCTCTCTCTCTCTCTCTCTCTCTTCCTTTTAACCGTGAATGGAACGATCGTAATTCCTGCACGGTGTAAGGTCGCAGAGGTCGCGTTAATTCGCTGCCCGGGTAAACCCCGTTGGATCCGGCCGGGACCTATTAAATATATCCGTTGCAATTAGCCCAGGCGCAATTTCGTGCCGCGACGGTTGCTTCATCTTCATTCTTCCGCTCTTTCTCGAGCGACGCCGCTTTATCGGTCCTCTATCTTCGCGTTTGAAAAAGACGAGGGGGCGGGGCGGGGGCGGGGGGAGAAAGAAAAAAGGAAAAGAACGCGAGCCACGGCTTTATATCTAGCTATTACCGCATCGCGCGACAACGCCGCCGCCGCCGCCGTGAAACGAGCCTAATTATCGTTATCGTAGATCAACGGGCCGAGCGAGACCAACGACGGCCGAAAAGGAAGTACGCGGTGATAAATCCGCGTTGCGAAACGCGATCGCTGGGACCTTTAACCGGTTGAATGCGGCGCACGGTTTTTCGGCCGAGTAACTACGGTAATGTCTCCCTAATCAGATTGTGCAGAAAAATGGACAATTTTGGGAACAGGAGATACGATTATTCGAACCTGCCGGTCTATTTTTATAGTTATAAATTGTCCACAATTATAAAAACGAGCTGCAAATTGTCTATTTTTGTGCACAATTTGGGCGACAATTAGGGAGACAATTAGGGAGACAATACTGTACACGTGCAGCGAGAATCGAGCGACGACGAGTACAGTAATGTCTCCCTAACCGGCGCTAAGATTGTCCACAAAAATTGGACAATTTGGGGAAGAGGAGATACGATTATTCGATTATTTCTAGCTCGTTTTTATAGTTATTGAGGATTCGTAACTATAAAAATGAACCGCATGGATTGATATTATATTATATTATTATATATTATATTATATTCTCTTCCTAAATTGTCCATTTTTGTGGACAATATGGGCGTCAATTAGAGAGACATTACTGTATACTCGTCGAGCACGGAGCAAGCGTCGCTGTTTGAAATATTGGATCGAAAGAAAAGGTTTTTATCTGAGAAAATCGACGATTTTGTTACCGATGTTTATTCGTTCGTTTAATATTATTGTATCGATGTATAATAAATAGCGTTTTTTATTTTACCATCTGATACGACTTAATGGTGAAAACGTGTGACAATGTATCTCGTCTTTTCCAATCGTTATTATTTTTACCGAGTCGTGTCGATTAACGCAGACGTCTCATAAAGAGAGAACCGATATTTTAACCGACATCCTGATTCTTTTCTCATCTTGTTTTTATAACAATGTGAACAGTTTCGCGCGGGATTAGCCTACTAAAAATATCCGAAATATCTTGAAATTCGAGAACACCTTTTTGTGTTTGCTCAAATTACAATTTAAACGATCGCGATGCCAGCTGCTTTTTACGTGCGACGAGTATACTCTTCGCGATCCACGAAATACCGTCGATTTCTTCGCGACGAGTATACTCGTCATGACCCACGAAATACCGTCGATTTCTTCGCGACGAGTATACTCGTCGTGACCCACGAAATACCGTCGATTTCTTCGCGACGACTATACTCGTCGGACGGTTAATTACCTCGTTAATTAACTCGGTTAATTGACTCGTCGGCGATCCGTTCGAGGACTTTGTCGCGCTCCGAGAACGATCTATGTGATTCTCCGCGGATCTTTTCCGAGTCCGAAGACAATTAATCAGCGCGCAATTAGGGAAGCGGGGACCGGGCCTGGGAATTCTTCCGGTTAGCCGCAGGAGCGTACAAAGGGATTCGTAAGCCGACGAGGGAATTGAAGGGAATTGCGGGAATCGCGCGAGTTATGCTTTGCGTAATACATACACCCTGATTCGATCGCGTTCGCGGCGGGTCTCGGTTGTTTGGCTTCCTTGAACGCGGAGGAGTCGAAGTTACGTGGATTCAATTGCGAGGGGAGACAAAGGCGATGCCGACGGTGACTCCAGAAACGCAACAAGTGGAAAGTCGAAGCTTCGTCCGTTCGAACGGATCTGCTTTCGGCGCTGAACCCTCGTCAAAAGACGGTCGAAGTGTTTCAGTAAGGGTGGACGACACCCCGAGTCGCTAAGAAACGGCTAAAACTTCGGAATTTTTTAATGGATATGTATAATATACATATTTATAATAATATATAATAATATAATATATATTTATAATATTATATATGATAATATAATATATATGATACATATATTTATAATAATATATAATATTATAATGTATATATTTACAATAATATATAATATTATAATGTATATATTTACAATAATATATAATATTATAATATATATTTACAATAATATATAATATTATAATATATATTTACAATAATATATAATATTATAATATATATTTACAATAATATATAATATTATAATATATATTTACAATAATATATAATATTATAATATATATTTACAATAATATATAATATTATAATATATATTTACAATAATATATAATATTATAATATATATTTACAATAATATATAATATTATAATATATATTTACAATAATATATAATATTATAATATATATTTACAATAATATATAATATTATAATATATATTTACAATAATATATAATATTATAATATATATTTACAATAATATATAATATTATAATATATATTTACAATAATATATAATATTATAATATATATTTACAATAATATATAATATTATAATATATATTTACAATAATATATAATATTATAATATATATTTACAATAATATATAATATTATAATATATATTTACAATAATATATAATATTATAATATATATTTACAATAATATATAATATTATAATATATATTTACAATAATATATAATATTATAATATATATTTACAATAATATATAATATTATAATATATATTTACAATAATATATAATATTATAATATATAATATTATAATATATATTTACAATAATATATAATATTATAATATATATTTACAATAATATTTAACATTATAATATATATTTACAATAATATATAATAATATAATATATATTTATAACATATTCTCCCCAATTTTCCTTCAGCTTATAATCGAAAAGGGAAAATTCGGGAAGGGGATGTCAATAATTATGAAAACGAGGTGCAACGCTCGAATAATCGTATCTCGCTGAAAGCTAATTAGGGAGAATTGACAATAATTACTACATACAAATATAATATATGTTTCAGCTCCGTTCCTCAATTTTTCAATAACAGAAATCGCACGAAAACAACGAAGTTGTTCGTTGTTTCCGAAACTTCTCCTCGCAGATCATCGACTGATGTCTAAATTAAAAAAAACTGTTACTGATTCATAGTAAACTAATTATTAGTATATCTAAGTATAAATTCAAGCGTACGAGTTTTCTAAATTTTTACAATCGGCGTTTCGAAGAAAGAACAGATCGATGTTCACAGCAACAATTTCAAACGCGTCTAAAAAACTGAACGATCGAAAAATCGCGCGCCACATTGTAGAACACATTGCACGAAATATCTCCGTCGAATTCGGAGCGAATCGAACGCATAGTTCCAGGGACGTCGCGACGGCCGGATTAAAAAGACCATAATTTCGAGCGAAGCTTCGCGTCTCCCAGAAATTTCGGGACAACATTTCTCCCCGATGAACCAAGATTTCATCAAGCATCGCCAAAAAAAAAAAAAATAAAAAAAGAAACCGAAAGCAATCGATCTCTCCTAACCATCGAAACATTATGCCACCCCCTCTCACCCCCCAGGACACGAAATTCCGAAGAAGAGGTGACCGCGCGGCATCGAAACGAAAATAAAGTCGTGAATCGAATAAATTGCGAAGACACGCCGGCTCCGCTGATCAATTTGCGGCCCCGGTGGGGGCGGCTTCGTGCCTTAGGGAGGAAAAAGGGCTTGGTGAAATTATCGTGGAAAGTGAGAACGAACGGCCGGCGCACGTTGACGGCGAAAAACGAGTGCGAGGATCGGCGGAGCGTTAAGGGTAGGTCGAGGCGGCCGATAACGACCAATTGTCGCGAGGGGATCGAGGGTGGTTTAACGGCGACGATATTCACGCTTGGCCACGCCGTGGAGTAAGGGGTGCAGGGAGAACCCCGGGGGATGAAGGGAGAACGAGAAACCGCGGTGGCGAGCGATCGATCCTCGAGATAAATCGACGTTTGATGGCTCGTCCGACTCGAAAATAAACACTCGGCGGCGCGCGGACAACCCCCGACGCCTACATTTTTTTTCTCGCCGAGAGTTCCGTTCGCCGCCGTTCCGTCACTCCTTTTCCTCCCTTTCCGATCGACACGCATCCCTCTTGAACGCGTCGATGATCGAGCATTCCGAATTTCGGCCGAGATCTTCGTATAATCCGAGCGGCGCGCGACGCGGCGCGCCGTTTCGATTCGTGGGGCGCGCCACTGAATGATGGATGAGAAGAGGGTTTAATAACGCCGATTCCTGAGCTCCGATTTCTCCGAATGTTCCGCTCCTTCGATTCCACTTTTATCCCGGATAATCCCCGCGAAACTCTCGGCATTCTGCGAAAGTTTCGACAGACTTTTTGGGGGATGGAAACGGTTTCGCCGGTTTCGCACTCTTCGGTTCGCCTAATCTTCGACCCTGTTGTCTTTCTCTGTTGCAGCGATAAAGAGGATCGAGGGAATGACGGGAAGGTCCAGCGCGAAACCGACGGGCTTGTGTCTCCTGGCACTGTTACTATTCTGCATCTGCAAACGCGACGTTATGGTCGCCGCGCAGATCGGCCCGATACCGTCGGAGTTGCTCTACGACAGCGAGGCTTTCCTCAAGAACACCGAGAACTATGTGAGTATGCGGCAGCGGGTTAGCCACGACGGGTACAGAAGAATAGAATTAGAAGCTGTCTGAAACCGTCTTTGGAGCGCGTTTTATTGGGTTGGCAACTAAGTAATTGCCGATTTGTTCGATGAAATGAGAAATTCTTTTTTACTTGGAACGAAGTTTAATCTGTAATGTATTTTCCATTTTGTTCGATGACCTTTCGCCGTCTCTCTGACAACTTGAAAATTCCACGCTCGTAGAAAGTCTGATCCTTTTCGGCCAAAAACTGAGTTAAGTGAGATTTTACAGCGTCATCATCGTTAAAAGTTTTACCACGAAGGGAGTTGTCCAGGGATCGAAATAAGTGGTGATCCGATGGCGCGAGATCAGTGCTATACGGTGGGTGTAACATCGATTCCCAACCAATATCCATCAATTTTTGCCGAGTGGACAAAGATGCGTGCGGCCTAGCATTGTCCTGCTGGAAAATGACACCTTTACGATCGACCAATTCTGGTCGCTTTTCCTTGACCGCTGCATTCAATTTGTTCAGTTGCTAACATTCACGGATAATAAAAAATAACATAATAATAATAATAATAATAATAATAATAATAATAATAATAATAATAATAATAATAATTTTATAATATGAGACTTGGAAAATGGCAATGCTTGGAAAAATATTATATGCTTGGTCAATATATATATATATTGACCAATTCTGCTCGCTTTTCCTTGACCGCTGCATTCAATTTGTTCAGTTGCTAACATTCACGGATAATAAAAAATAACATAATAATAATAATAATTTTATAATACAACATTTACGGATATCATAAAAATGGGAGTGAGAGCGCATCTACAACTGAAATCGGCAATCACTTAGTTGCTAACCCAATAATTACAAGAAAAAAGCGTTCACTCTGATCGAATGGATCGACGAAGGGTCGACGAAGCCAACGATAAGTCAAAAAGAAATTCATACTGAAGCGCATCCCGTATATTCGTATCTCCTCTTCCGGAATTGTCCATTTTTGTTCACAATCCGTGCGTCGATTACAGGAGAATTTACCGTAATCGCTTTACCAAGCTTCGACGAGCGATCACATTCCCTTTGCACGAATTTCGACCAGCATTTCCAATTTACCATGTACAGTGGATTCTCGACTATCCGGACTAAACATCGCGACAAGAATGTTCGAATAACGTTCCCACTTTTGTATCCAGATTCCACTTTTATTCATTTTCACGGGAAAAATCGTTTTACCGCCTCGATTGCCTCGCGCTCGAGTTAACAATTCCGAACAATCGCGCTTCTATCGTATTTCCCTTGCTTTTCGTGATTAGACAGCCATCCGACAATGACGAATTATCATCGTTAATTATTCCTCATTAATCGCTTTACCAAACTTCGACGAGCGATCTCGTTCTCTTTGCACGAATTTCGACTAGCGTTTCCCGCGCCTGTTCCCCTCTTTGCCAAGGGGGTGACATTTTCCCGCGAATTTCATTTCGAACAGAGAAAAACGAAGCGTTCTGACCGTGCGCGACGTCGTCGTTTCTCGTCAGATTATGCTGAACAAGCTGAGGCAGATGGAAGAGGAGAAGAAGGACATCGACGAGCGAAAGAAGGAGCTGGACGTGATGGAGGAGTACATAATCGAATCGTTCGAGGCCAGGAAGGACAAGGCTGCGCCGAGGGTTCCGCCGGCTGGTTACTCGCCCGAGGAACTTCCAACCCCTAACGCCGTCGTCAGAGAGCTGCAGCGCGCAGGGAAACGAACCGAGCTCACCTGTGAGTATCGCTTTCTCGTCTCCCGTCGTTTCCTTATTTATTTATTTATTTATTTATTTATTTATTTATTTATTTATTTACTTATTTATTTATTTCGCCGCGTTCCTCGCGTATCCGACACGACTCGCGACAGTTCGAAACCGGCGCGGCGCGCGCGTTCCGACGAAGCGCGCTCTCCTCTTCGAAACGAAAGCCGCGATTCCGTGGAAATCCGTGCCGCGAACTTTTCAAGCTCCTTTTCGGCTCGATTCCCCGCGGTTTCCTCGCAACGCGCCGCCCTCCGTGATTAAGCCGCAGGACGTGCCTCGCGTGGCAACGGCGAGGAAACGGGAAACGCGAGAGAATCTGGTCGCGAATACTGGCCACGAGCTTCTTCCCGTTCCCTCGGAAAGTTTGCCGGATAATTGGGAATCTCTCGTCGCGGAATCGCGGCGGATCTGTTCCGGTTGCGTCTCGTTTCCTTTTCTCGCGGCGGATCGCGCGATCGCGGCCGCGGAATCGAAGCGACGCGCCGGTATCCAGTTTTAGAGATACGGTAAATTCTCAACCCTAATTGAGGCACTGGTCGAGGCGCTTTGAGATTGTACGCGAAAATGGGCGATTTGGGAAGAGGAGATACGATTGTTCAAGAATATCAATTTAACAACAATTGGTAAACGGTTATAAAAACAAGCCGGAAGGTTCGGATAATCGTATCTCCTTTTTCTTAAATTGTCCATTTTTCTGCGCAATCCGAGCGTCAATTAGGGAGAATTTACTGTATTTACTTGTATTTACTTGTATTTTTTATCAGCCTGCATTTAGTCGGAGCTCGGGAAAAATAGATTTTTGAAACAGTCGATAGACTATAAATATTATTATCCTCTCATTTAACCAGTCTTATTTTTATACAATATCTTCTTGTGTATATATATATATATATATATATATATAGCACTGGCCTAAAAATATTCTAGATATCTTGAAATTTGAGGATACATTTTTGTTTTCACTAAAAATACAATGTAAACTGCCAGTGGTCGCCACTTTTTACGAGAACACAGCTAACTGGTTAACACTAGATTTACAGAACCCGTCAAAATGGCGGGTCACTAATCTTTGAATTCACGACTATTCGTATCGTAAATAAACATTTACGAGTTATTTATTCAATTTATATGTTACTTATGGCAAATGTTACACTAACACTTGTTAAAAATCAGAATAAATGTTCCATTGTTATTTTTATAAATTAATATGAAACAGCTGTTTCTTATTAATTTATAAAGATAACAATGAAATGCTATTATATAATATTATATTCTTTAATATGAAAGTATATTCGAATATTATATTGCCAATATTATTATTATATTAATAATAATAATAATAATATTGGCAATATTATATTATATATATTATAATATTAATATTAATATTACTATATATATTATAATATTGGCAATATTGTTATTATTAATATAATAATAATAATAATATTATATTATTACTTTTAAAAAATCGATTTTTCCCCAACCCTCAGTTGTTCCAAAAGCAACGCAGAATCGTGCGCGCGCGCGTTTCGTTCCTCGGAACGAGCGAGCGCAAATCAATCGATCGCGCCAATTGACTTTTGATTCCCGTGACGTCAGAACGATATTCCCTCGAAAAGAAAAAACAAAAAACAAAAACAGAAAAGAACAAAAGCCGTCGCGAGTCGCGTCAACATCCAAGCCCTATTCTCCTAGAAAATGAACCCTCTTCGATAAAAATCTCGACCGCCCATCACCGCCTCTCTGCATCACGTACACTAAATCATCAATTTTCGATCGGTCCCGACAGACATGACGCTGTGCCACTTCAAGATCTGCAACATGGGCCGCAAGCGGCAGCTGCACAAGTAAACCGGGCGCGGAGGTCGTTCGCACCCTTCGCCTCGGACACCCAAGCGAGACACGCGTGCCACCGGAAGGGAATTTCGCGGGGAAACCATCATCGAGAGAAGAGACCACGTCGCGGGAAATCGAACCGCTCGGCCCGTTTCAGCCTCGGACGACCGGCCCAAAGGACGCCGTTGCGTCGGAAACACTCAGAAATCACGTCGGGAACCGCCGGATTGGCTCCGTTGGAATTTTTGTTGGCCCGAAAGGTCCTTTGGAGGCCCAAAGGTCGCGGCGACGGGACCGCGGGCGATGTCCGAGCGCGGAAAGTCCCGAGCGGCCTTGCTCGCGCGTCGTCGTTGTCGTTCTCCGGAACGTTTCGGGCCCGTTTCGAAGAGCCGCCGGCGCGAATCGCGACCGAGATGTAAATAATGTATCGGCGGACCCGTTCGTATCGGGCCGTGAAACCGGCGGACACGTTCTCCGACTGGCTCGGACACGTGGACTCCGCTCCTCCATGGAAGACGGCCGGAGACGGACGGGACCCGCGAGAGCGACGTATATATTTTTCATTGTTACTCCGGCGCGCGGCGTTCGGGGCGGCGAGGTGAACCGCGGCTGCTTCATGTTACGAGACCGGCTGTAAACGTTGCGCGAGGCGTCGCGGAAATTTATAGGCGAGCGGCGACGGCGGCGAGATTGAACCGTCGGCGAGATGCCGGGGCGAGGCGTCGGAACAACGGGAACACCGTCGTCGGTCAATTGGCTCAATATCGCGTCGCGAGCAAGATGATTGCTCGCGATTAGAAAAAGGATGACGCAAACTAGGCTCGGGCCCGAAACGAAAACAAAATAGTATTCCCCTCGCCGCGTTGACGCACGAATCGCCGCCTCGACATTGCGCGCGTGGCGAGACTCCGTTCGATTGATAAAAGTGTCCGCGAACAGCGGCGACGTCGACGAAGGCAAAACGTTTGTCCGCCGGTCTTCGGATCGGACGCGCGCGCGCGTTTCGCTTCTAGTATTCAACAGTATAATCGTTTAAGATCCGGTGATCGAGGACACTGCATTCGCGCACGGGAATCGAATGATCACCGGGACGACTACTTTCTTCGCTCGCGAATCGAGAATAATAGGGGTAGGAATATTAGAACGGGGAGAATGGCGGGAACGCGGGTGGTGGATAACGGAGGAGGGAGAGGCGCGTTCGATTTGCGCGGGGGTGAAGTGTCCTCGACGTGCCATTTAGGATTCGTAAATGGCGAATAGGTATTTATTATTCGGTAGCTTTAAGCGAGAAGGATGCACGGGCCAGGGCTGCGAACGAATTTCTCGAGAAACGAATGAAACGAGGAAGAGACGAACGAGACCGAAATAACGATTATTGCGATCCGAGAGAGAGAGAGAGAGAGAGAGAGAGAGAGAGAGAGAGAGAGAGAGAGAGGGATGCGAGGGTAAACCGGCGACTAATTCTTTCACAGCGAGACACTGACCACGCGGCTTTTCCTTTGCGTTGCACGCGCCTCGATGCAGATATATGTCTCCCCTAACTGGCGCTCGGATTGTACAGGAATTTGCACAGAAATAGACAGACAATTTGGGAACAGAAGATAGGATTATTCGAGCCTTGTAGCTCGCTTCTTTTTTTATAGTTGTCGACAATTCGTAACTGTAAAAACGAGCTGCGAGGCTCGAATAATCGTATCTCCTCTTCCCAAATTGTCCATTTCTGTGGACTATCTGATCCGCGTCGATTAGAGAGACATTAGTGGTACCTGCTATCCTCGAAACGAACACCGCGGACGGGAAAAAGTATTTTTCTGCGGCTGGAAAGTTACTCCGCCGGACAGAGGGTGGGAGACAGAGTGGAAGCGGTGAGTGAGAAAGAGAGAGCGCGCGTGTACAGAGAGGAAGAATGAGAGAGAGAGAGAGAGAGAGAGAGAGAGAGAGGAAAAGAGAGGCCGCCTGCACCCTTCGAGCAATTATTTATAATCGTTTCGCGAGGAGAAACGTGTAACGCGTTCACGTAGTCTTTTTATGCGCCCTTTTTTTATTTATTTAGCTCTATCAACCCCCTCACCCCGATTATCTTGTTTGTTACTTCTCGATCTTGATCCTGGCGATCTACACAGTCTGTTCCCGTTAAAAATGCTGTGACCCGTCGTAACGGAAGCGTCAACGGCTCACGCTTCGCCGATAAGTCTGAGTAGATAGTTATATATTAATAATAATAATAATAATATTATTATATTATATTATATAATATTATATTATATAATATATTAATAATAATAATAATAATATTATTATATATTAATAATATAATATTCCTAGTATTAGAAAATTTCACTGTCAGCAACCGAACCGCTTCTCCGAACATTTTTCTTGTCGACGCAATAAGCAAATTCCCGATCTTGAGACGTTCGACACGCAGAAGAGCCGACGTATGCAACTACGATTGCACCTGTAACTATGTTTCATGTGAAATTGCTGCAAGTTACGCCCGTCCGTTACGACGCGGTTAAATTCTCCTCAACCCGAACAGACGATAACGACCGCGATTGCTGTCATCGATTGTATTTTTTATCCGACACTTGAGATACTCCAGCGCTGTTTTATCATTTAATCGACATTGTTAACGCGCATGTTTTCCTTGTCGTCGTGATTCGGTGTGCACACACGCCATATCGAATTTTCCCGCCTGTATTATAAACGGAGAACCACGTGACCTGAACCCTACCCCCGGTTGAACCGAACCGAAACGACAAGACATTCATCCCCCCTTCGACGTGGAATCGTCAGGAAACGTGCCGATATCGCGTTCCGCCGCGATCCGTCGCGACAATGTATAACGCAACGATAGCAAATAAAACGTGTGAGCATAAGTATATGACATCAGCGGCTGCAATAATAACGCCGCCCGCAATCCTGCAAAATCGCGTGTTATTCCGTCGGAGATCAACCACGATTCGAACACACCGGTCGCTCGAAACGTCGTGCCAGCGATCGTCCGTATTCTAGTCTATTTCATTTTTAATCGCGCTTCGGAAAATAGTTTTTTCGTTCGAGACAATTCGAACGATCGGACGCGACTCGTTCGTTCGAAACGCGAACGAACGCGCGCGCTCGTTGCACCACGTGACTAGTCGCAAGCACGATATCTAATCGACCATCGCTGTATTAATGAAATTTGCACAACCGTCTGGAGAAAAATTGCAACGAGAGCAAGCTATCAACCACAAAGACGAAATTGCCACTCGGAAACGAATCCGTGTAAAGAAACACTATCATTCGTTGTGGAGCGCAACGCGCTCGACATAACCTCACATTATAAAGAACTAAAACAATTTTTTTGTTTGCAACACACTTACAAGCCGTTCGGAGTCGTAGAGTCGCCGGTGTGTGTCCACGCACGACGCACAAAACGCGGAGATCGACTGATAATAAATTTCAAAAGATAGGACAAACGTCGGCACTTTCTCCGAGTGGGGTATATCGCGACATCTTCGCGAACGACGGCCAACTATCGTCGACTCGATCGTTACGAGTGACAGCGACAAACCGTGGAACGAAACTGGACGACTGCGGAGCGGGTTTCATCTACGAAATAATGAATCGTTATTGTAAATTACGTAATAATTTTATTCGCTTGAAAACGCAAGCATATATTTTTAAAAATGACTCGTCGATCGCTCGACTCATTGTTTCACAAAATATATTCGTGTGGTGTTCTGTACTTCCGGTGCACGGCAGTCCAGCGTTATGATTGGCGGACCTATTTACATTACCTCCTTTTCTTATGTTTCTCCGATTTTCCGTATCTATCCGTCGATCGGTCTCGATCCCTTCTCTTTTTATTCGAGCGTCTCTCCTCGGATTTCCCGTGCGCAGAGTCGTCGCTCTCGCTGCAGGAAGTGTCTTTATCTCTTCTTTTCCTCTCGCTGTCGTACTTTTTGCCGGATTTATGATCCTTGTAGCTTTCCTTTTTACTCCGACCCTTGTCCCTGTGTCTCTCTCCGCTTCGATGCTTTCTCTCGTTCTTCCGTCTTGACTCGGATTCGTACCTTTCGAACGAGCCATCGCGGTACTTTCCCTCCTTGTGCTTCTCTTTATGCAAGTACTTCCCTCCATTTCGCGAATATTCGGAATCCTCTTTCCTCCGTTCGTGCTTTCTATGGTCCAGCACTTCCTCTTTGTTTCTCCTGTCTGTTTCCCTTCTGTATTTAACGTCCTCGCTACCCTCGTCCCTCTGGTTCCTCGAGCCAGCCTTTCTCCGATTCTTATTATCTACTTCTTCGTTTTTCTCGTCGAAGTACTGTATCCCTTTACCCTTGCCTCTCCATCTCATCTTGGCTACCGATTGCGAGAAGTCAACGTGTATACGGCGATCGTCGATCAGCACGTTGTCCATTTTGAAGTAAGCCTCCTCGCAGCTCTTGCGTTCCGCAAATTCTATAAACGCGTACTGCAAAGAATCCCCGGATTGCCGGTCTCTGATCACCTCACAGCTGAAAATAAAACGTTCCAGCTTTAATTTCAGCATTTAGAAATTTCAAACAAAGTCAGCGTAGTAGAGAGAAAACGTTCAGACTTGTAGCCAAATTTTATCGACAGAGTAAACATGGCAATGACGCAGCCAGTCGCAAAATCTACGAGCTTGTCACAGTTTTATTCCAATATTATGTATTGATAGATTGGTCGTGCAACGCGTTCCTATACTAGTTCTCCTGCCATGCTTGTCAATAAAGGAGATGAAGTGAAATAGTTAAATAAAATAACATACCCGACGACTTTTCCGAATCGACTGAAAATGATTTCAAGATCGTCGTCGTTTGTAACAGGATTCAGTTTGCAAACGAATAGAACATTTTCAGGTGGTGCCATTTCTGCGTCTGGAATGTCGCCCACGATCTCCAAAATCGTGGCTCTAGCCTTCGCTTCTTTTTCCTTTTGCATCTCTGTGATCTCTTCGACTGTCATGCCGGCTGTGTCATCTATTACTTCGTCCGCGCCGATTCTGTCACTCTGCAAATACATTTATTAAGGATCGTGGGGAATAATTTGGAGCGTTCGAAACACCAAGGGAAGAGTACGTACCATTAAACATTCCTTTGTAGGCGGTGGGCTTTGACTAGGAACAATAAAACCCTTGGGATCCTCGAAGGGATCTTCCAAAATGATAGTGTGGGAAATACGTATATCTTGATAGGGCCTGTTATCGCCATCGCAGATCGTTTCGTTGAGCTTGAAGATAATTTCCAAACCCTCTGTGATTTCGCCAAATACACAGTGTTCCCCGTCCAGAGACTGAAGCTCCGAAGCCAGCGTTACAAAGAACTGAGAGCCCAGCATATTGTTACCACAATTCACCATAGATAGTAGTCCACTCCTGTCATGCTTTATCTTCGGCATCTGTTCTGCCTCGTAATACCGTGCTTTCTCGCCTAATACGATCCCGTAAACACTTTCACCTCCTTTACCGGTGCCAGTAGGATCTCCAGTCTGAGCAATGAAATTGCCCTGAACCGAATGGAACAGATTCCAATTGTAGTATTTCAACTTGCACAACTTCAAGAAATTCCTGCATGCTGTAAGAGATCATTGAAATTATTAAATTACGATACAAGCCATGATAGAACATCACTTAACCTCTACCCTGTATTTCCACTTACTTTGCGGTCGTTCGTCTGTATACAAATCAACGGTGAAATCTCCTATAGTAGTTTCTATTACAACAGCCATGATTCTGTGACGGCTACCTCCAGACTCGCCAGCAGGATCCTCTAGCGGGAACCGGACGAAACGCTCCTCCTTCCCTTTCCATCGAAACCTCCGTCATTTCAGCCGCGAAAATTTCACGATTAATTTGACGTGGATAAAAACACTTAGTTCGCCTGCAATTATTATATATTATATTATATTATATATTATATACTATATTNCGTTCCTATACTAGTTCTCCTGCCATGCTTGTCAATAAAGGAGATGAAGTGAAATAGTTAAATAAAATAACATACCCGACGACTTTTCCGAATCGACTGAAAATGATTTCAAGATCGTCGTCGTTTGTAACAGGATTCAGTTTGCAAACGAATAGAACATTTTCAGGTGGTGCCATTTCTGCGTCTGGAATGTCGCCCACGATCTCCAAAATCGTGGCTCTAGCCTTCGCTTCTTTTTCCTTTTGCATCTCTGTGATCTCTTCGACTGTCATGCCGGCTGTGTCATCTATTACTTCGTCCGCGCCGATTCTGTCACTCTGCAAATACATTTATTAAGGATCGTGGGGAATAATTTGGAGCGTTCGAAACACCAAGGGAAGAGTACGTACCATTAAACATTCCTTTGTAGGCGGTGGGCTTTGACTAGGAACAATAAAACCCTTGGGATCCTCGAAGGGATCTTCCAAAATGATAGTGTGGGAAATACGTATATCTTGATAGGGCCTGTTATCGCCATCGCAGATCGTTTCGTTGAGCTTGAAGATAATTTCCAAACCCTCTGTGATTTCGCCAAATACACAGTGTTCCCCGTCCAGAGACTGAAGCTCCGAAGCCAGCGTTACAAAGAACTGAGAGCCCAGCATATTGTTACCACAATTCACCATAGATAGTAGTCCACTCCTGTCATGCTTTATCTTCGGCATCTGTTCTGCCTCGTAATACCGTGCTTTCTCGCCTAATACGATCCCGTAAACACTTTCACCTCCTTTACCGGTGCCAGTAGGATCTCCAGTCTGAGCAATGAAATTGCCCTGAACCGAATGGAACAGATTCCAATTGTAGTATTTCAACTTGCACAACTTCAAGAAATTCCTGCATGCTGTAAGAGATCATTGAAATTATTAAATTACGATACAAGCCATGATAGAACATCACTTAACCTCTACCCTGTATTTCCACTTACTTTGCGGTCGTTCGTCTGTATACAAATCAACGGTGAAATCTCCTATAGTAGTTTCTATTACAACAGCCATGATTCTGTGACGGCTACCTCCAGACTCGCCAGCAGGATCCTCTAGCGGGAACCGGACGAAACGCTCCTCCTTCCCTTTCCATCGAAACCTCCGTCATTTCAGCCGCGAAAATTTCACGATTAATTTGACGTGGATAAAAACACTTAGTTCGCCTGCAATTATTATATATTATATTATATTATATATTATATACTATATTATATTATATATATTATATTATATATTATATTATATTATATTATATTATATTATATTATATTATTATAACAAGTCCAACATCACGCCACGTGTTTCAGATAAAGCGCCAGGCGTATGGATACGCGAAAGAAGTGAGACACCGTAAACACGGTAAAGTGAGATGGCTAGGTTCTCGTCCGTGTGGACACTCACACATAGAGCCCGTTGATTTCGTTTTGTCTCTCTCGATCATCTCCTGCTCTCTTTCTAACACAACTGCGCGGACCTGGATGCGTATTAAAATGGTGGGGATGGGTTCTTATCCCTGAGCATTGTTTGCTTACTAGTTTCAACGTTTCGCTGTCGATGACGCTGCTATACTACTTAAAAAGCCGGACAAGTTTCGCCTCTTATACACTACATACTCTGTGTATGTGATTATCTATGTGATCGCGACCGATGCCAGCGCGAGAGTTAAGTTGTGGTTGTATGGTTGTATTGTAGAGTTGAAGTTGTACCCTGTAGCCTGTAGCTTGTCAGTCGTTGTGAAAGCGATTGTCGGACGGGTGGATCATTGTAATGATCTATTCGATCAAACGCATAGAATGTATAATTTTTTACGAAGTCTGGTTCTCGGGGTGGTTTTCGGCCTTGTGAACAGCAGCTTGTCTGCGTCCTGGAACGAGCCTTTGCCATTGGTAATCGCGAACTATAAAGTACACGTCGATGCGGGAAAGGAGGATTGTTACTTTCAATATGCTTCCGTTGGAGCCGATTTTTATGTGCATTTCCAGGTATGTCACAGTCGTGTACTGCTCGATCGCTCGATTCAAATTATTCGTTCATTTCACGAACTGTTCATTTGTTCGAATTATGAACTTGTATATGCCGGTTCAAACTTGTAGAATCGACACTTTCACCATATGGCTGTAAGTAACGCTTAACAACAACAACAACAACAATGCCGCTTTTATCGTATGCAATAGAAAAAAACTGTTCGTAACAGAAACTAAATGAGTTTGAACGACAATTCAATAGGAATGTAAACACGCAACACTAAATAGATCTAATACAAGAAAAAAAATATATACATATATTAAATAGTAAAGGTGCAAAGTAAAATGAAATATCATAGACAATGCTGTATGAAAAGGAAAGATTTAATGATTAAGTTCTATTTATTAAGTGGTCCAAACAATATTTAGAAATTTGTTATGGTTTTTTTTATGAAATTGCGCATACATATAGGATAATATTTCTTACTATAGGTGATAAGAGGTGGAGATGGTAAAGCTGCTATGTCTGTAAGAAATCCAGATGGCATAATAGTTCATCCTTATCAATGGCTCCCTAATTCAGCTTATCAGGATTCCGTGAAAAAGGCTGGATATTATTGTATTTGCGTGGATAATCAGTTTTCACGATTTGCTTCAAAATTAGTCAATTTATATATCTCTGTGATCAGGTAATATTACTACAATATACATATATATCACCTATATCATTGGATCGATATCATTTAAGGACACCATCTTTTACAGGTATGATAAGTGGGATAAATATGCTAAGGAGCTGGAAGAATTGAATCTTTCCGTTGATAATTTTACGGTAGGAATCTTTGATATTTCTTTTTGCACGATATTAAGACTTGTATTTATTTTATTGCAGTAATTTGTTTTTTTTTATAGAACTCGGTAACAAATGTGGAAAAGAATGTTAATGAAATGTACCAAACGCAATATTTAAGCAGAAGTAGAGAAGAACGAGATTTCAATTTACTGCTAGACAACAATTTTTATGTCCAAATGTGGTCCATCACTCAGATAACGGTCATAATAGTAACGACAACGGTGCAAATATATTTTGTTAGAAAATTATTCGAGGTGAAACCATCGAAATTTTCTAGAGCAGGCATATAAACAAAGCGTAATATCGCGCGACGAACTTGCTCTAATTCTTGGAGACAAGTTACAGTTTCCATTCCTACTATCCTCAGTTTAAAGTTAATAATACACTATACAACAACATATAATATATTTTTTTCTTTCACACGGAACGGTGAGAACCTACAATGTAAGACTGTCTCGCATTTCACGTTTGCGCCAAGAGACGCAAGTTTTTACTCATTTTTACAATTGCATTTTAATATAGATCAAGAGATTCTATTTACGTATAGTTGTATTTATTGAAAGAAAAAAAAGAAAACACTGTATTTATACGAAAGTATTGTAATAAATTACGACGTACTTTTGTTATATTCATTTGAGTTTCGTCAAATTTTGTTAACCCTCACGTTTCTTTAATCATTATTTTATGAATAAAATAATACTGTAAAAATAATTACAATAGTACCGGTTAATTTTCATTTCATTTATCTAAAAATTCAGCGATAATAAAAGTACTACTGTACTTGTGAAATATCGAAGTTCAGTTAAAAGTCCGTACAGCGCCAACATATACGCTAGTAAAACTCTCAAACTTGTAGACAAAGTTACCAACAGTTGATTCTGGCTAACAGTTTGAGCGTTTTGCTCCTACGCTAATTGGCACTGTATTGATTCTGAACGGAGATTCTTGATTTTGACACTTGTGGCGCCACTATCACATTTCAAATTTTTAAAATTGCGCAGTTAATAATTCAACGTATTTTAATTATGCATACAGAATAAATTTTTTGCAAATTATATCTCTATTCTTTCTCTCAAATTTTCTTTCATGTAATGTTCATATTACATTCGAATGTATAATAGTTATACAATTTCAAATCATGGATGACGTGATATGTTCGTGTGGGCTCAGAATTTAAATAATTGACTCCGCTACTATTTGATTTTTCAGATTCTTTTCATTAATAAAGTTCTGTCTTGGTTACAATCTAAAGTATTAAATATTTTACTCATTTATATAAGCAAGGTCAAAAACTTAACAAACATTTTACAGTGTTTCGTTTAAAATGAGTAATAATTATATTAATAATAATAATAATAATATAATTATCAATAATAATAATAATATTAATAATAATATTACGCATATCGCCAACAAAATTTATATAATGTACAACTCGTAGATATACATATAAATTAACATCTGTTCCTCAAATAAATGATTTCTGCGTTTGGCACGATGTCATGTAATCGAAGCAAATTAAACACCATGTTACATTTTGATTGTCCGTGGCTAGTTGTGAAATACAATAAAGTATGGTTTGCTTCATACACTTGCGTTTTCTTCTTCTTTCCTTTTTTGTTTTTGGTGTTTCATTCGTCGATAGTTTCATCTATGCATTTAGTCGGCCGTTCTTCACGAGGATGTGAACATTATATTAAGTAACGATTCGCATGCATTAAAAGGTCGCGTAAAAGAAATGGTATTCCCTATTGTGTATAGTACGCTACAGTAATACTTCGTAAAAAATACTCGACGAGTGAGCTATTTTGTACAATTACTGTCTTACAATTTGTTTCTTGTACTTATATCGCTATGTGCAAACGCGTGACATTCGACTGTTTTATAAATAAATATCTTTCCCCTCGAGGATCCGGCCGACCAGAGTATTTTGCCCAATGTCAGGATTTACTGGTGTATTGCTTTTACGTTGCACTGCTAATCGATTACATCTAATTTGTAAATGATCGATTAGCTAAATTACTATTATTATAAATGGCATCCCACCCCCTAATTGATTACATTAGAATAAACTACATGGAAGAACAGATCTTCAGTCGTAGCAAACGAAAGCTAGACTAAAAATTTCAACAAATAGTGAAAACTGTGATATTACTTTCAATATATATACATATATATATGTATATATGTATTTGTGTATACATACATATATATATTTATATTTATATATATTTATTTATTTATAATATATAATATATTACTAATTTGAAGATGCCAGTTTCCTTATCTAGATTAGAATGTCAAGGTGTCAGCAAGAATGCCAATTCAATAATATCAGAAAGTGCCGGTCAACACCTTTTCCTTTTCTAAACAAAACTTATAAACCTCTAAAAACATCTGTTTCACCAAAAGTATAACAACAACAACAAGGCATGTTTAGTTTTGCAATAATATCACAGACAATTGAAAACGTAAAGTCTACAAAAACTGGTCTTGCTTGCGTGTGTGTGTATACAAATTTTGAAAAGAAAAATCGCTCAATTCGTGAGAGCACGAGCATCTAAAGAATACAAATATACAATGTATACATTAAATAGGATAAATTTTTACATTACATAAAAATGTACATTTGTCTCAAAAATTGCTTTACCGTATCATATATATATATATGATTATATATATAATATATATATACAACATGGCATTCTTCCTTGCACCCTTATCTTGAATTACTTTTTCCTTCGTAGCTGACTAGCTACAATCACATAAAAAGTTTTGGCAGCGCGCCCTGTCCATATTTGTCCTTTTAATTTATCATTTCTCTAAATTGTAGAATGTTTAGGTAAACAATATACGAGCGATGTTGTGATCCTGTACAAACAACATCCCCTTGACTCAAAATTGTACAAAGTCCGCTTCTCGACAAACGACCAACGCGCAATTCTTAACTAAATCAATTTACTACGGAGGCAAAAATTGAAGACTTCGAGCAAGTAACTAGAAGTGTATTAAATATAGGACGATAAACAATGCGATAATTAATAAGTTAAACTAAATTGCACCTTCTTCGAAAGCTACACCTACACGACGTGTTTCTCATGTCTCGAATATATCTGAGCCAGCAGTTTTAACATGTATCTCACAGGTAACAATTCATTATTATTCTCAATTGTGACGCTTAATTATCATTATCGACCTAACCAGTGATACCTCGTTCACAATTTCTTTCTCTTTTACGTTCACGTATGATGTCGTAAGACTAGAAACGTCTCCGATTTAAAATTTTAAAATCATTTTAAATTGGTAACCAAATTCGAGAAGATTATACATTGTTTTGTATCTCGTTTTTTTTGTATTTTTTTTCCTATGAAAATTGCCGAACCGTATGACATTGTGTAATCATAAAACACATGAAATTGTTCAGGCTGCGCTACCATGCTGTGCTTGTAGTGTCACGCAAGTTACGCTATGATTACAATTAGTAAATGGTTTAAGCTAATAAACTGTGTTTTAGCGAATTATTAGGAAGAGCTTTTATCACGCGGGCAGTGCCCTGTAAAAATATATACGTTCTCTCTATATAGAACTAGATGTTTAATGTATGCCAGACCAGTTCTCTCCCATCGATATCCACCCTTTGTATACGCGTCTCAATTACTTATCAGGTATTTCACGATGCTCTTAATATTACGGATATATCTGTTTTTTGTTATTTTTTTTTTTTATAAAAATAGTTTTACCTCTTCTGTTTCCTACGCTCTTATGCTCCGATCAATATAGTATCGATTCGACATGATATATTGATTCTTTAACAAAATTTTGAAACTGGTCCGCGCATACATCGTAGGATCTACATATATATACAGCATTGTTTAAAATCATCTCAAAAGCCACGAAGAGAGTAGAAAAAGGCATGAAATGATAATATTTTCGTCATTTCAAATCCATGTTTGTCTTTAGTGCACCTCGACTGTGATTCTTTTCTATCTTTCTCTTTCTCTCTCTCTCTCTCTCTCCCTCTTTTTCTGTGTATGTGTGTGTGTTTGTGTGTATGTGTCTCTCTCTTTCTCTCTCTTTTTCTTTAATTTTTGTTATTGATAATTTTCGCGGTACGCATTTTTGCAAACATATAGCTGCGTACATGACCAGATGCATTTCGGTGTATGTGTGAATGAAGGAGCACACGACATGTGCCTGGGTGTTGTGTAAGCGTACGCGCGCGCACGCGCGTGTGTGTATGTATGTATATATATATAAATTTACATATATATATAATCTTTTTTTAAATATATTATCAATTTCTCTATCGAATAGATATCAATTATATCTCTATACATATCTACAAAAACCTAATATATAGAACTCTATTATCATTAATTAAACTCTCTATGAATTAATATGTATAATCGTCACAACAGGTCTAAAAAGTTTCATCGTTATTTAGTTTAGTATGCGATAGTGTTTCCTTCATTGACACTCCGTGAACCTCTTAGTTGTGTTCATGTTTTTTAGTTAACATGCTGTGAAAGAAACGAGCTCCCTCCTCAACACTACCTCAACACTATTATTGCTTGTTGCTTAGTACTACTGAATTTATTTTGGCATATAGCGAGTTCTAAACCCTGAGCGACCGCCAATTTTTTGTCATTTCTTGTTTCCCTCGCGTTAAATAGAAATGCACCTGACAGAGCTTTCCTTCCGACGCAACCGAACGCGTCCTCGCACTCTTCTCGCACTTTTTCTTCTTACACGCCTAAAAATGGCAATATACTTCGATGCAAATCATTGCTAACATTGGTTGCGTTCGAAAGACGACAGAGTTTTGCAATCATATATATATATGTATATACATATATATAGAACTATGTATATATGTTAGAAGATGTTAAGTCTGTTTCCATTTTAATTATCATTATTCGAAAAGTAGAATCGCGGAAGAATTTCTTTTCCGATTTCTTATCCGAGGATGAAAAATAACGAGTGCATGTAATGCGCTATACGTGAATTCTACACGCCAACGATAAATTTTATATAATTTGTTTTAAATACCGCTTTCCTTCGCTCCACTTTGGCCAATGTTTACGCCTTTTTTCCGGCGAGTTCGAGTAATCGTTTGGAGCCGAACGTTTCTTCGGTTTCGACGTACCCTCCGACTTTGGTGCTGGGCTAATACCTTGTACGTGAGGCGTTCTAGGGTGATTCAGCGCCGTTGTCACGCCTGCTAAATTTAAAAGCGCATCTGCACCCTCTGCTATCTTCCGTTGCTCATCGAAATCCGAATTCGTTTCTTCGCTTGGGTATCTGCTGAACAACAAAACGCAATAAACGTGTCTGGATCTCGCCTTTCGACAGCCATTGTTTCCTCACGAGTAACATTCTTTCGGCCATTTTAAATTTACCTTTCTCGTTTCACCGTAGTGATGCAACTGTATGTATGATCTTCACTAGAACTCCTAGTGATTACTGGAATCCATTTCTCCGATTCTGGTAATTTTCGCTTACGATCTATAAACGTATAATGAACATCTAAGTATACCACGCATAGTGCTTGTGCTACCTCCTAGATGCAATAGGTGTTGATACTAGTTATCAACGTACCTTTGTTATGATTTAAAATAATAGGTCCATGTTTGAAAGAAAGCATAGCAGCGGCAGCTGCGTCTACGTCGCTGTCTACTTCTGTTTCTGTATTATCGGAAATGTTGCTTGATGCCAGTCTTTTGGAGAGGTACGGGAAGAGAATAGGATCTGGAAGCCGTGTGCTTGTGTTCTTTCTCGGCGGTTTTTCTGGGGAAGACAAAGTTTGAGCAGTAGGAGGCGGGAAGGGAGCACGAGACAATGCCTGTATTAAATTTGGTCGATACTGAGCGTCTACCATCCATAACGAACCTTTGCCCAAATTCTGAAAAGGTAGTTTCTCCGTTAAAATATCGGTTTGCGAACAGGCGGGTCTCAAAACGGTAATATGGGATACGTAGTTTAACTTACCGGCGCTTTCTCCACTTTACGAAAACATTTATTCAAGCTTAGATTATGTCTTACAGAATTTTTCCATCCAGTGGGAGCGTTCCTAAAATATGGAAAATGATCCAATATCCAAGCATACACTTCCTTGACTGGTAGGGCTTTTACAGGGCTATCTTCAATAGCCATGAAAATTAAACAGGAAAATGAGTATGGGGGTTTGCTGTTTCTGTGCAAATGGGGATCGTATGGTATATGTGTAGGATGCTTGTTCCGATTTGAAACCGGCAGATTGTTGTTGCTCAAGGAAATCTTCGTTTGATTATTTTGCGAGGAATTGTAATGATTTTTTACCGATTCCTGAAATATTTGCATCGACTTTTGACCATTCTTATTTGCATGCTGAAAATTCTGACTATGACTGTGCGACGTTGAATTGTTTATCTTGCCGTTATTATCTGTTGCAAAATGAGAAAAGGAAATAAATGATGTTTTAATAATGCTACTGTGCCGATTTAATTTATTTAAACAGCTAGTAATATATACCTGGACAATAACCGTCGTCTAGGCTTGAAATGGAGTTTGTGTTTTCAGAAAAGTCCGCAGGATCATCGCATACATTATTATTCAATACATTCTCATTTTTTATGTCTTTGGGAGGATTCGCAATATCCAGCCCCTTCAATAAATTCTGCTGATGGAGCCAACTTAAGGAAGTTAAATCATCGTCTAACTGACTGTTCTTTTCTATAGACTTTTCGGTCATCGAAATGTCTTCGTGAAGTTCATCAGATGAATTTGTCTCTATAAAAGCACTTGCATTCTCTTCTTCCTTCATGGTGTATACTGTTTCTCCGAAACTGAATACCTGGGTGCTATTCAGTCCTACTCCAGTTTCTACTCCCGATGCGTCTGGTCTATCTGGTGGCATATTGTGTCTAGTATTTTTTTTGTCACTGAAAACAGTTATGAACATATTAGGCTGTAGTAAAACGTTCGCATATAATTAGCAAAGTAAGCATTTCTTGAACCGAGTTCCTTATAAATAACTGGAACTTTCAGTCAAGGATCAGGAGTCAAGGAAAGTAGGTGGAGTATGTTGAGAAGACAGGTCAATGTAGACCAATGCACCACCGTTTATGGGGTGAGGAAATAAAAAACAAGATCATTTGTTATTGACCGAATTCTTCCACTCCTTATTCGTGAAGGAGAAACGGAATTTTAACCTCGAATCAAGGAAAAATAGATAAGCCTCGATAATTCGGCCAGCTATGAAGCAGAAATGCTGTTGCCGAGCAACAGTTACCATGTAATCTTAGCAACGTGGTTACACCTAGTTTCTCGGCCGAATCTTCGATCCTTCGCAACGTTCCACTTATTATTAAAAGCGTAAATCGTACAATTCGAATTCGGTTTGGAGTTTTGAAAAAAAAAATATATCACGAGACGCGATATCGCGAACGTAATCTAAATAATCGAAACTTTGCAAGCACTTAGGAAAAAATTGTCTTGTCATATTATTTCGACAGCGATAATCGATCCTTTTAAAAAAGGTTAAGATTAATTGTTATCGTAAAACGCAAGCGATAGAAATATTGAAAATCCTGACACCCCTTCGCGGTCGAAAAATATCGAATAAAAACGGCTCTAGCGAAATTTTTGGTTTACACTTTCCCAATGAACTTTGAAGCTCCGAACGCGTAAAGATCTGCGGTCTATTTATAGCAGGGGAACGTGTGTCAACTTCGGCGGAAATAATTCATAGGGATGCGATGGAGAACATAGAAAAGAACGGTAAATAGGTTAATCATTGTGAATATCGTTCCGTCCCCTATTTTTGGTAGCATATAGGAATACTATAATTAAGAATGGACGCGTAGCCAGAATGAAATTGAATTTCCGCGCATGCGACGCGCCTGTAGCCTCGAACCCAGAGTGCCAACATCGTCATTTGTTTATCCGCTAATAAGCGACAAAATGGCCGCGCTATTGAGAACACATTGGACTCTGAAAATAAACTTTGAGGAGATCGATGCGTTCCTTGATACTGTTCATGATAGTCCGTTCTCCTAAACGATAGTGTCATGGGTACATCGTGTGTGCTACGTTTCACGAATTCCGTACGGCCGATACTGTACTTTTAAACAGTCTTCGGGGAAAAATGGCGTCTACACGGCGCAGTCTGTTTTCCCAGCATGTTTCCATGGCCTTGTTGTTAACGCGCTGCAACATGAACGTGTTCGAAACATCTTTTTCGGAACGTTCGCGTTCTTGGTTTTGAATCGGAGACCGGTTAGCAAACCCGTTCGGAGTTCGGACAGCGACTGCACACGGATACGTGGAACGGGGTGAACAGATTTATCGTGGGCTATTCGTTTTTCATGAAACGATTTCGATGCGACGAGCACGAGATTTCGAAGAAAACAGAATGTAACGGTTCCTCGGCGAGATCGTGATTCCACGTGAACGGCCGCAGAAAAATTCGAGAACACGCGAAAACATGCCACTGCGTTACTTGTTGAATTCAAATATGGAGTTGATAATGATTACGAAACTGGAGCAAACATGAAAATGGCCACGGTTGCGTTTGCACACGATATCAATTCCCTGTTCTGAGAGTAACGCGGCTCTTTTTCAAAATCTTTCGATCGACAGTTATCGCGACAAATATTAAAGAACCGAGCAAGATTCTGGCGCACCGAAAAAAGCTTCTCTGCCAACCATATTTTTAATGTATTCTTATGTACGCGTCATCATTTCAGATGTTGGATTTTGAGAGAACGAAACCGTTCTATCGTGACTCTGCGACCGAATGATTATATCCGATTAATGTTCCGGAGAATCTCTCGGTTTACGAGAACATTTTTTGGCGATAGCCACATCGGAGCCTTTAACGAATGAAACAGCGTTTTGCGTCTTTTGAATTTTTATTGTTGCTTGAAATTACCGTCACAAGGAAGGATCTCGTCACTTGGAAACGAACACGAAAAATACTGCGAGAATTTTTTGAAAAAAACTCACGTATTCGAGTAGACAGACGGCAGTCTTCGTTGGTTTTCTAAAGACGGGCATCTCAAGCACACTCTACACAACACCCAGCTGATTGAGACGCCATATTTTGACGTCATCACGTGTTTGCCGAAACATTTATCGTATCTCGAACATCGATGTATCGTACTTGTCCCGGGAAAACATGAACGTGCCGTACTAGAACCATACAATTCGCACTTTCTTTCGAATGTTTTCACGAATCCGTGTATTAGATAGTTGGCAAATGAATAACTATACTGTTCAAGCGTCTAGAATTTTATTGCACTTTTTCTCAATCGTCGTAGTGTACAGTATTTAGATAAAAAGTAGATTTCTTTTCTCTTACGTTGCCTAGTACTGATTATAGATACTGAAAATTATAACAGAAAATCTGATTAATTTTTTTATGGGAGCTAGAAAGACATCTAAATGACACCGATAACAAAATTCGTCTCACTCCATCGAATAATCTTCGCTTCATACATTATAATTCCATTCATACATACTGCTACAATATACTTCACCATATACTTTATACTGTGTGTGAAATATTAGAAACGTGATGATTTGCTTTCGTAAACGTGGTTTTTTCGCAGCGTAGGTAAATATTGTATATTTACATGGCACAATCATAGGAAAAACTCTTTACAATAAAGTAAATAAATATTGCATTTCAGTTCAATTTTTTCGATGGCTTGGAATTCGATAACCAATTGATACCTGCGCAAACATATAAAAGTTACATACAAAATTTACAGATCAGAAAATTAGTACTTTTAATCACTTCGTAAAACTCACAAGTCATCGTTTACGGCGCAAATGAGTTGATGAGAGATGAGAATTCTAAAGAATTTGTTTTTGTTTTATCTTCTTATGTAACTTCAACTTAATCCACCTTTTTGTTTACGCAAAAGTCACAAATGCGAACCGGTTTTTCCCATCCCCTATAGGGTACAGGTTTGCTATTTTGCGAACAGTCTTGACATACTCCACGTCCACAATCTCTGCAGTGATGCAACGGAATGGAGACAGAAAATTTTTTATCGCATATACAACAACTGATCACTTCCGAATCGGGTGTCCAATATAATGGTCGGACGCTGTCCTTTATAAGCGCTGTAACAAATTACAAAAATGTTGAGCACCTAAAAATATTCCTTCTAGAATGATGCAATTATTGTTTTCTTGTAGGCTTTACATTTCGAATAGTTTATAACTGTTCCTACTGCGCTTAGGGTAGAGACAACGTGTTCTGAGACCTTTCTAGCGCTCACGTCGTCTGTCGTATTCGAAACTTCATCATTACAAGTAGTATCTTTAGCATAACAGTTATCACAGACACGGACCGGCGTGTGCCAGTTTCTATGCGGAACACTTTTTCTTTTGGACGAACAGGGTGAACAGAAACCTTCGCCGCATGCTCGACAATGATGCTTCGTATCCGTTGATCCGAACACGATTTTACAGTTATGACAACACTTGATCTCGTTGTTAGGTCTCCAGTATGATGGTGCTACTTGATCAGCAACCCATGCGGACAAAGCTTTCGTCGGTTGTAACGAAACGTTACTCACAGCTCCGCTAATGTACGACACACCATCAATTACCTTTTGCGCTGTGTTCTGTAAACTTACAGAATGATTTGCCTATAAATAAATGAAACAATGAAGAGATAAAACAACGAGTGGTTTAGTACGACAAAAATAATACGCTTGTATAGTATACCATATCCCACACATGTCTAATTTCCGTGCGCCCGGCGAATTCTTCTTTTGGGTCTTTATTGCCATACCAATACTGTCGACTTCTATAGACCTCTCCACAATAGGGGCACTCTATCACATCCCCTGCCCAAGCATAACTAACTAAACCATACCAACTATTATCAGTTTGTGTTTGGATACGTTTCGTGACTCGCACTTCGTTTCCATTACTGTGACATTTTTTACATACATATACTAGATTTTCATACTGATGTTGATATCGACACCTACGAAAACATAATCCAGTGAAACATTTACTAATTGCAATCATTCAATGCAGATTTGGGTATATTGCATATTTTTGTTTAGAGAATGTTGTCGCATTTATATGCTAAAGACAACCAACTGTAATCGTTTCAATGATTAGTTGCACAAAATATTGCCCAATTCTGATTTAATGCAATTTCGCCACAAAACGGACCTAGAGTCGCTATTGTGTGGTATTCCCTCTCGAAGATGACCCATGCTGTTAGCGCATCTACACTCACAGCTGAGACACTTAACGGGGCAAGTAAAACATTGATCAGATAATAAACATTTGGAGTAGTCGCTGATTTCCTCGGAAAGTTTGTCGTTCAAAATCTTTAACGTATTGTAAACTAAATTTGGATGCCTGCCGTATCGAACGGTTGAGTTATTCAATTCTTTTTTTATAGCAGCGTACAATGGCTCATAATCAGCTATGAAATTCGTCGTTTGCAGACCAACGTATTTCACAGAACTGAAAGCTTCTGTTTTCAGCTTCAGTTCGGCAAATCGTTTTTTAAGAATGTCTTCCGCAGTTTCTGTCCCATCTGCAATAAGAGGAAAATAATATATTTGGTATAACATTGATGCCGCGATTGAGAAGGGAACTTAATGTTGAAATTACTGTTAATCTGAGAATGTAGTAATACATACCATAAGCCAGAGGCTTGGTGTATCTAGTTTCATGTAGTACTATAATACTTGGTCCCCATGTTTTTAAGGAGTTTACAACACCTTCTCTCTGTCCTATTGGTTGCAAAGCAGTTTTAAAATAATGATTATACGCTTTAGAGACAGCACCAAGAAATGTGAAAAAGTTCCTATTCAGTCTTTCAATCGGTGTTCTGTACAGTACGATATCAGATACAGCAAAAACTTTAAGCAGTAACCTCGTTTGGTCATTTTTGTAAGTTGAAATACCTGAAAAAATATTATTTAATTATTACAGCATTCCTGTATTTGGTTTTGATGTACATCATACAGAGATAAACGTTGAAATACCTAGCAAACCTTCTGTATCTAAACAAATCACTTTAAGGGCTGGATCAAATGCAGCCCAGACACCTAACGTACAAGAGTTCTGATCATTTGAGGTTTTAAACACTTCTTCCCCTCTGAAAAATGTCTGATTCAACGTATGACTCTTTCCATCACCTGTATTTCCAAAAATAGATACCACCTTTACTTTCAAATCCCTCTGGTCACAATTCAATTTTTTCACAAACTGTTCTGCATTAGAAACCATAAGATTTTCTTGTTCATCGATCAATAAGAAACTTTTCGATCGATAAGTGTGGCATGGTGTTTGCAATCCGTTCGAAGAAATTGTATTGTTGTTGGAACGATGCACTTCCCTATTGCAAATGCTTATGCTGTCCAAACTCTCCATAATGGCCGGTCCAGTCGCTTCGAATCGTTCTCTTGATAATGCACTCATAATGCAGTTATGCAATGCTACTTCTGAAACATTAAGTACGCTGTCAACTATTGAAATAGATTATCAGCTAGTAATTTAAAGGGTTAGAAAGATTAATGTTATACAAATTATATGCATTTGAATAATCGCGTCAGATTGGCGCAGTTGGTGTATCGGTAAATAAACTGAAAAAAATACCGATTGTACGACGTACCAATGAAGCGGAACGATGTGTTACTGTGCAACGGCATATAACAAAAGAAAAACAGAACAAACATACATGCGTTGGGTTGCAGTTTTGTAAACATTTACTTAAGCGATTGATAGAAGCCATGATGGCGACGTTCCTTACCTTTTCAAGATTCAATGATTCATAACGCTTAAAGAGCATCACAACAAAAGCGATTTAATGTTTCGGCAGCTTCATGAACGTCAACCGAGAATAAAGAATTCGATACAATCTCGTGACTTCAAATAATAGTTATAAACAACACCTCCATTACGAGCAATTGGCAGTAGAGCTGCGGAAGCGCCGATTGCAACAGGCAACTCTTTGAAAAACAGATTGAAAGCAATTTCAAGGCTAATGTTCCGTGCTTCCTTTTGTCCTAGGAAATGGGAAATGTGTGACTCCTCACAACACATGCATACAGCGTCACCTTGTGGATTATAAGAGTAAGAACTTCAGGCAGGCAGACGCTAGCTGCTACAGACGCGTCCTCTATTCACCTTAAAGCGCACCCTTCTATCTTCTACTGCGTATATATTGGATATGTATAAATGATGTACAATGTATGCGTATAATGCGCACACGCGTCTTGTTTCATAGAATTATAAATAAAATTAAGAAACCATTGATCATAACGCTGCAATCCTTCTACATTTGTATTACAAAAAGTTACGAAACGCTATTGTGCATTGTGAATCATCAGTTTTCTAGAAGACAGTCGATGCAATTGTGCGTTCGGCTCAAGAAAAGGAAGGGGGCAATTACTGGTGGAAAACACATACATATACATACTTCTGATGCTTGGCATCGGTCGCACGAGTAGATTTCTTTCGCACACGAATATGTTCGTATTCAAGATATGTTATGCTACGTTTCCTATTCATTGTCCAATTATTACATGAATGAGTGATAAATATTGCAGCCCGATATTTGCAACGCTTAAAATAGAACCGAATCGTCAGGGTATTATTAACTGAAGTGATTAATCACAATTTGCATTAACAATACCTACGATCTTAAAAGACCGTAATATGACTTAGGATGATATTCGTATTCTCTCTTTCTCTCTCTCTCTCTCTCTCTCTCTCCCCCTTCCTCCCGCTATCTCCCTCTCTCTACATACATATTTATTTTATATGTATATTTGCTATACTCTTTCAAAAAGTGTAACTCTTCTCTATCAGACAATTTAATATTCCTTAGCCAATCCTTAGTTTAATTCAGAAACAACACACAACTTTCTTTTATAAGAAATCGATATAATAGATCGTTGTAGTGGTACGTATGTACACCATTACCGAAGCGAGAGACTATGAAATATTTACAGCAGTGTATACCAACAATGTCATACTCTACGAAAGGTTGATTTAATGTAAACATATAATTAGAATTCACGGTAAGTTATTGCTGCGTCATTTGACGAATTCATTACGAAGATTCTTGGTTTTTGGTCGNCTGTTCTGCATTAGAAACCATAAGATTTTCTTGTTCATCGATCAATAAGAAACTTTTCGATCGATAAGTGTGGCATGGTGTTTGCAATCCGTTCGAAGAAATTGTATTGTTGTTGGAACGATGCACTTCCCTATTGCAAATGCTTATGCTGTCCAAACTCTCCATAATGGCCGGTCCAGTCGCTTCGAATCGTTCTCTTGATAATGCACTCATAATGCAGTTATGCAATGCTACTTCTGAAACATTAAGTACGCTGTCAACTATTGAAATAGATTATCAGCTAGTAATTTAAAGGGTTAGAAAGATTAATGTTATACAAATTATATGCATTTGAATAATCGCGTCAGATTGGCGCAGTTGGTGTATCGGTAAATAAACTGAAAAAAATACCGATTGTACGACGTACCAATGAAGCGGAACGATGTGTTACTGTGCAACGGCATATAACAAAAGAAAAACAGAACAAACATACATGCGTTGGGTTGCAGTTTTGTAAACATTTACTTAAGCGATTGATAGAAGCCATGATGGCGACGTTCCTTACCTTTTCAAGATTCAATGATTCATAACGCTTAAAGAGCATCACAACAAAAGCGATTTAATGTTTCGGCAGCTTCATGAACGTCAACCGAGAATAAAGAATTCGATACAATCTCGTGACTTCAAATAATAGTTATAAACAACACCTCCATTACGAGCAATTGGCAGTAGAGCTGCGGAAGCGCCGATTGCAACAGGCAACTCTTTGAAAAACAGATTGAAAGCAATTTCAAGGCTAATGTTCCGTGCTTCCTTTTGTCCTAGGAAATGGGAAATGTGTGACTCCTCACAACACATGCATACAGCGTCACCTTGTGGATTATAAGAGTAAGAACTTCAGGCAGGCAGACGCTAGCTGCTACAGACGCGTCCTCTATTCACCTTAAAGCGCACCCTTCTATCTTCTACTGCGTATATATTGGATATGTATAAATGATGTACAATGTATGCGTATAATGCGCACACGCGTCTTGTTTCATAGAATTATAAATAAAATTAAGAAACCATTGATCATAACGCTGCAATCCTTCTACATTTGTATTACAAAAAGTTACGAAACGCTATTGTGCATTGTGAATCATCAGTTTTCTAGAAGACAGTCGATGCAATTGTGCGTTCGGCTCAAGAAAAGGAAGGGGGCAATTACTGGTGGAAAACACATACATATACATACTTCTGATGCTTGGCATCGGTCGCACGAGTAGATTTCTTTCGCACACGAATATGTTCGTATTCAAGATATGTTATGCTACGTTTCCTATTCATTGTCCAATTATTACATGAATGAGTGATAAATATTGCAGCCCGATATTTGCAACGCTTAAAATAGAACCGAATCGTCAGGGTATTATTAACTGAAGTGATTAATCACAATTTGCATTAACAATACCTACGATCTTAAAAGACCGTAATATGACTTAGGATGATATTCGTATTCTCTCTTTCTCTCTCTCTCTCTCTCTCTCTCTCCCCCTTCCTCCCGCTATCTCCCTCTCTCTACATACATATTTATTTTATATGTATATTTGCTATACTCTTTCAAAAAGTGTAACTCTTCTCTATCAGACAATTTAATATTCCTTAGCCAATCCTTAGTTTAATTCAGAAACAACACACAACTTTCTTTTATAAGAAATCGATATAATAGATCGTTGTAGTGGTACGTATGTACACCATTACCGAAGCGAGAGACTATGAAATATTTACAGCAGTGTATACCAACAATGTCATACTCTACGAAAGGTTGATTTAATGTAAACATATAATTAGAATTCACGGTAAGTTATTGCTGCGTCATTTGACGAATTCATTACGAAGATTCTTGGTTTTTGGTCGTTTGTAGCGTGACTTGTTAGTCACGACGCTGCGTGCGTTTTGAACTAGCCGTACGATACACGACCACTAATACGAACGAGAATTCGCTAAAGTCGATTGCAACACCGCTCGACTATCGAATGTGAACTGTTCAAAATATCGATATACTGATTGACGAGGAAGTGCTGATAATACATCGCTGGCGGACCGCTAGATTATTGAGGTTGATTTTCCATTTCGTCGTACGTGACATCGTTCTGCGTGGCCACGCGCGATTCTACTCCCGGGACACTTTTGTTGGAATGAATGTCAGTAAAATCTGAGATCGACTGGTACGGCACACGTGCCATAATGTTACCGAAAGACTCGGTCGAGGAGAGTTTTAGGATTCATTTTTCTCCTTTGCACGATAGCCAGTGACCCGCCCCGTCGAAATTTTCTTTGACCGCAGCAAATCATCGAACAATGGAGAACTACACAGAGGAGAACACCATCAACATGAACGGAAGTGGTACGTTCGATGCGGTAGCACATTCACGAAATTATTCTCGGTGTCAGTTCAATATGACGGATTCACATTTTGCACATTTTTTTACAAAAGAACAATCTCTTGTGATCTGCTGCAAACAAGTCGAATTATAGATTAACTTGAACTCAAATTATTTATCATACCTTTGGTATGCTACTTTAACTATATGCACTCTCTTTTTTTTTTACAATTGTCCATTCAGAACAAATGACCATTACTTTCTTAACAATCTGCGCAGAGATAAAATAATATATCACCACTGTTTCTGACTGAATTTACTAATGAAATATTTGTAACGATTCAGAGGAGCTACAGGAGAAGATAAATAGACTAGAATCTGAAAACGTGAAGATGCGAGAAGAATTCAATGTTCAGAGGGCAAAGTTGAAGGAACTGTTTCTTCAAACAGAAGGTGGAATCATTTTCTGTATGTAGATGTATGTAACTTCGTGAGAGTTGTGTTAATTAGAGTGTACATTCGCAGACGAACTACAGAGAAGATTAAACGATAATACCACTTTGCAAGAACAGAATGCGAAGCTGAAAAATGAGTTGTACGAGATGCAGAATCTACTGGTTAGAACTAATTTAAAAATGATACGTGATACGGTGGAGGAATCTTCAAGCTCGCGGATACAATTGGATGCAGAAGTATCAAAATTAAAAGTGACTCTGACCAAGTTGCAGGAAGAGAACAAATGGTTAAAGTCACAATTACCTAGGGAGCCGCCTGTGGATGGACCGCAGATATCGTTGTCAACAGTAACAAAAACAATAGCCCGGAAAGTAGTTTCACAGTTAGGCGCCGATGCTTTATCTTTAGGTTCTGACAATCTCGAGGAAAGCATGAGGAAGGTAAAAAGATATGTACGTAAACATTAGGATATATGATTTTTGAACTTTTCTGCAATGAGCTTGTAAAGCTGCACCACATTTCAGAAACTGTTCATAAATCATCTCAATGATCACGATGAAGTGTTTATTTTATTACTTGTTTTTTTTCCTATCGATTTTACATAGGTGTGCAAATATTAGAAAGTATTGCTTTATAGGCACAGGAAGATGCAGAAGTTCTGCGTTCACTGGTAGTGCCACTCGAAGAAGAAATTAAAGCCTTGAAAGAGAAATTAAGAGCCACAGACGACGAGTTACAGAAATGCAAAGAGTCGGTAAAGAGACAACAGGAGCCGGGTTCGTTCGAGCCCGCGTGCGACATGTGCGCTAATTACGAAGCGCAATTAGTCAAAATGCAAGCCACTGCTAAAGATTTAGAGAAACAACTTTTGGACTCCGAGCGTATGTTGCAAATGCAGAAAGAGGATCTGGCCAAGGAGGTGGAGTTTCGTAAAGAAATGGAAGAGAAATGGAATGAAAAAAAGGAGGAACATAAAATCAAAGTAGCCGAACTCACGGATACCTCGCAAACAGTACAACAGACTTTGGTTGAATTGAAAAAAGCTTTCGAACAAGTTCAGAGGAATGCCAAAGAAGAACTGGTGAAATTGACGCGGGGTCGAGAGGAAGTACAGAGGCACCTTATCGCGTAAGACAACTTCCTATAATCATACAGTTTTTATATTATTGTCGTATTTTAATTTAAAACGCACATATAAAGTAACTTTCTTTGCCAAAGCATTCCTGACAAAATTTTATTGAAAATCTAGTTGAATCTTTGCAGACTGCAAAAAGAAAATGAGAATCTTGTTGGTAAGCATAGTAAACATTCCCAACAACTACAGAGTGAGAGTATCAACATGCCGAATAATGTCGAGGAGCTGCATGTCAGTCTTTTAAAGATGCGCGAAGATCTGATCACTGCTAAAGTGGCACAAGAAGTTGCGCAAGAAAAGGAAGAAACGTTAAGATATGAAGTAACTTTGTTACATGAACAAATGGAACAAGAAAGTAGAGTGAAAGAACAAGAAGTATTGGTATTAAAGAATGAAATTAGCGGATTAAGGTAATGTAGCTTATCTTATGAGCGTTTGATGCGAATAAGTTTTTGTTGACCTTGCTAACTGTACTTACTCTGCAGAACACAATTAGATAAGTATATTAGAGATCATCGATCGCTTGCCGAAAGGGAAGAGAAACTGGAGCGTTTAGAAAAACAATTGGAAGCTGTCTTGAAAGAGAATAAAGAGGCTGAATTAAAAATTGCCGAATTACGGCAAAGAGTTACCAGTCTTCAGCAAGAACTAGATACTAGTGAAGCGGTACAAAAAGACTTCGTTAGACTGTCGCAATCATTGCAGGTATAAAATATGGAATATAATTATAAGGAATTAGACTATGTACATTCATTAGAATAAGTGCTCTATTAATATAAAATCCACTTTTTGCGATAGGTACAATTAGAAAGGATCAGACAAGCTGGTAGCGAAGTAAGATGGCAACATGAAGAAGACGTGGAAGAATGCCCTACTTGTCATAATGCTTTCACAGTTACAAAGAAAAAGGTATTGCTGATTTTAATTGACACGTTTCAGCGAAGACTAAAGAAGTATATTTTCATAGGTGCATTGCCGCCATTGTGGCCATATATTTTGTTTGTCTTGTCTTTCACATGTTGTGAAAAGTGGACCCAAACAAAGACCATCCAGAGTCTGTGATGTTTGCCATACGTTATTGGTGCAGGACACAGCACCGTACTTTAGCCAAGAACCCCCACATACACCTGATTAAATATTCTGACACGAAATCAGTCCAGCAAGATGTGCAATATGAATTCGGTAATTCAGTGTGTTGACGAGTTACGGGATTGGATTACTGTAAAGTTATCGAAAATTCGAGACTTCTTTCTTAATAGTTCATGTTTATAATATGCTAACATAAAATGCAAAACCGTAACTTCATCAGTAATCACGTAGTCCCTTAACTGTACCTCTAGTTGGACATGTAAGTTGATGTAACATACCTCTACGATCAGTTTCAGGAAGACTTAGAGATGCTCTTAGTATGAGAGGATGCTAGATAAGATTCCTATTACCTGACAACTGGAGTGATAAGATAAATATCGTGTAAATACGAATTATGTACTACTTAATGTTTATTGTAATTTAAAAGATTAAAGCTTTTGAATGTATGTGTTATCCAAAAATTAATGAATATATATCTATTGTCTTGTTATCTACATTGCTAAAAGTAAGTCTCGTATGGAAAGAATATATTGGACATTTCACTAATTATTAATTTAACTCATATTTTGCTTAATTCTGTTGTTTTCATCACTCTTGTATAAAAACAGTTGCAGGTTTTTATTTCTTCTTATTATAGTATCAATACCGAGACACTAGAAGAAAGTAAGGCATTCAATAATATACTGCCTTTTAATGTACATTACCGTATATACATACCATCTTAACGTAGATACCATGAAAATCGATAGTTTGTTGCGAATTATACTTGGTATACTGTTCTATTGGACACTGAACGTTCTGTAAACGATATTTATTTATTATTAATATATATATAAATTTAACATTACATTCTCTCCGTTAGCATAAAGTTCTCACATTTTGCTACAACTTTTGTATTATACATTAATTACAGGTGCGTGCGCGTGTATATTTTGAATGTATCTGTTGTAAATGTTGTTCGTAAACTATTATTTTGTAAACGAAGGAGAAGAGAAACTGTAACAAAACTATGAGGTACAGTTTATAAGTGTGAAGAGTCTCTCATGTAGTTTCCAATAAGTCTAACAACCGCGAGCATCGCGTCGATAATATAAGAATTTGTCGCGATGTGAACAATAAAATAAAATACACGATTCGCGAAATGTTGGCCGCAAAAGTTAATAAATAACAACGGTTGGTACTGTATTTACAGATATATTACATGGTAAAAAATGTGTCGATCACTTCTTCGATCGGGTGTGGAAGTCTTTCGTAATCAAACGGTAGGTTTTCAGATTCAGTGCGTTGCAATCTCAATATTTTCCATTCGTCTAATAAGGTTTCATACTGCAAGACTTTCTCATGTTCGAGCCTTTTTATGTAAATATGTAAAAGTGTTCGATAATCGTATTCCAATCCACTATAGCTTTTGCCGAACGTATTTATATCTAATAACATGAACGTATTAAAGTATGCACGGTCATTAACGTTTAAAATTATTATCTTCCACTTACTGATTACAATACTGCGATGACAAAGTTTCTCGGCCTCATCATACCGAATCATATCATGAGTGTACAAGGACGCTAAATGTCCTAGACTCAAGCCAACTTCATAGTCATTCGGTCCTAATAATTGTTCTTTAATGCGTACAGCTTTGTTGAGCATTGTTTCCGCATCCTGATACCCGATATGCTATTCCTATAGTTACTACATAAAATATTTAATTGATATGTTTACCATACCACACATACCTCTAATCTTCCCATAGTTTGATAAAAACGCCCCAAATTTCCGTAAATATTTGCGATCAATACATTTTTCTCTCCTAACGTTTTCCTTATCAGATGCAAAGCATATAGATAAAATTCTTCAGCCATACGTAATGACTTATCGATCATGTCTGATATGTACTGCTGTCTGATCTGTATTGCTATTTCTTCGAGTATTAATGCATATACTTTCTTTGCATTCGCCAATAACAAATTGTTGCTAAGACAGCGTTCTATAGTCACTGTCCCCCGGTTTGCATATTCTCTATGTGTACAATATAGACTAATACAGTCACGAATAGCCTTGATAATTTCCTTGTAAAATTGCTTACCTCGCCTCTGTAAAATTCCCAAAATTATATTCGTACACGTACATCGCATACGCAAGATCTACCGAGGCCAGCGCGACATGTAAATTGCATTTCGGGAATACTGACATCCTCGCAGCTACAACTTTCTAGAGAATAATATTTGAATGTAAAAGATTAATGAAACACGTTCTCACAATGAAGATTCGTAAGCAATATGCGGACCTTGTAAACATAAACGCTATCAATTAAATTATCAATGTTTAATAAGTATAATCCGTAATCTAGAAGGACGTTGGTGTTTACTAGATAATGCGACTCAAATTTTTGCCTGCCGAGATAAACGGCTTGTTCGATAAGCAAACCGGCTTTCGGAAATTCTCGTTTCAGCAGACACGATTTCGCAGCTTGTCTCAGAACGTCCACAGTAATGCGAGCTGGCAGCGTAGGTTTCAGTTGTCCCAAAGCTTTTATACTCCATCTGAACAAGAATAGAAATGCAATTAGGAAAATTCACAAATGACCAAAGATATACATTCAACGAATACCTATAAGCCTCGTCGTACATATCCTTCATATAATATAACACGCTAAATTCGGTGTACAAAGCAGCAAAATTGCACTCGAATTCTGCCTGTTTTAAACGCTTCACTAAATCCATAGCTTGTATCAATGTTTTTGTTGCATTTTCGAATAAGCAATATGCAGCTTGGACATGTAGCAGTCTTTACAATCAGATAATTATTACAGATTAATATGTTTCTGCGTAAATAAGGTATAAGTTAAATTAGAATCCTAATGTCTTGTTTACCTATAGCAACATTTTAATGTTCTACACCAATTTTCAGGTGTAGAATTATTAAGCAGACATAATTCCTGACATTTTAGCAAAACCTCCTCACTTTCATGAATATCGCCAGCATCGCCCAGGAATCCACCAAATCTGAGACCTAATTTTATCAGCCCATCTTGAGCATCTGGATTGTTGTTGGCATCATTGCACCATGAAATATAGCTTGATACTAATTCTTTTCTCAAAGGATACCCTAAAAGCTTGAAGAATAATATAGATTGGAGTCTAAGCCAGGTAATGGTCTTTTTTTTCCCATAACATTACCTCACCTCAAAACATATTAACAAATCTACCTCTCCATTAGTTATTGCTAACATCTTAGAAAACGTAGCCAAATTACTCCATTCCAGTGTTATGAATTCATTAAATGGAAAATTATCTACTTTGGACATCTGTAAAATCAAGAGCAATGCATTTATTATGTTATTAATGTCAAGAAAAGTAAACTAATGTGTTTATACATTTTTGTACAATTCAAACACAATCTATGCGATAAAAGAGCTGTGGACGAGACGTTTCAAATTTTACCGCATAATAAACGTCGAACAGCAATATATCCGGTAAATCGGCCAGACATTGTCGTGAAAAATTGTGTGTCTGTAGCAAGTCTACTATCCTGGCCACACTCAGTTCATAAAGACTTTTCGGTAAATTCATAAGTAGTTGTATTTTTTCGGCCATTTTTCAGAGGCTTTTGACTCTATGCATATGTTAATTCTAGAACGTGGGTTGTATCAAACTACATTTACTATTTACATCCGCCTTTTGCATTTCATTGTACATACTGCGGTAAATAGTGCATTAACTAACCGTCATTCGTGAGAAGAGGACGCTAAAATCAGTCGTGAATATTCTGTGGATACGACAGTCGGAGACATTACCATCGGACGGTAAGTCTATATTCGCGATTCGTCAAACAGAAAGATTGACAGCTTGTTGCACGATTGTGTGAGTCAGCTGTCAGGAATCTTGACTCAGGAAGACATGAACGACGCAATCGGGTGAGCAATATATGTTTACGAGTGTTTTATTCAAGAATTATTTGTCTTTGTCGTGTTTATCGCAAAAATCAAGTCTGGATGAATGGTGAGATCAATTTTGCGAAGGAACAACAGAAATGCGACAGCGTGGTAAATGGTAGAGCGTTTGGTTACATAGTTATTGCAACCTTGGCAGAATAGTTAGGTTAGAAAGGATTTATTAAGAAATTTTATGCTTTTCGAATAAGTCGACTCAAGAGTACAATAATTGTTTCTTTGATTCGACAGATACAAAAAGAAAAAAAATGCGAGCTGCCTGGGCAACGATCCTGTATGCTATAGCTTTGGCGGTCGCATCAGTGAAATGCAGCGATATAACTGCAGCAGTTTTCGGAGACGTACTGGATGGCATGCCAGCCGCGTTTGGAGATTTCAATTCAGATGAATTGACGGATGTGTTTATGTTGCGAAAGAACGCAACCATGGTAGAGATATTTCTAGCCGCTGAACAAGAACCGCTGTTAAAACCTAGTTCAGATTTGAGTTGCACGTTCACCCGCAGGGTGGTCAGCGTAGTACCTGGAGATTTCGATGGTGATGTCTTCATGGACGTGTTGGTGATTACGTTCGACAAAAGTACGAAATTGTCGTTCGTTTATGTGCTTTGGGGTGGTAATGGAAAACTTAATTGTACCGATGAAAAGGAACCACTGGTGAAGATGATAGGACAGCCATTGGCAATGGACTACAACGGAGACATGATCATAGACCTATTTGGAATAAACGAAAAACGAGAAAGAACGTTCTGGATATTTGATCAAAGCAGGAAGCATCCTAAAATGGAGCCAATGCGTTCATTGAACAATGAACCGTTTTCACCGATCGACGAGCCTCATTCGAACGCCTACTTGGACCTAAACAGGGACTTTTTGGCGGATCTAGTGGTGACCTCGAAGAAATCATTTGAAATTTGGTTGGGCGTTGCAGGGGGAGGTTTTATCTTCGAAAACACCATACCATTCCCATACAATATTTCGCTGGAGGATGAGAAAGTCTCTAGCGTGATTGGTCAGACTCTCTATCTGGACACAGAGCTAACTGGCAAGATGGGTCTGCTACTACCGCTGTGTTTTGACAAAGCATGTACCAATAGTACGATCATGATGTACTCGGATCAGTGGCACGATCTGCGGGTAAACTTTAGGGACATTAACAACGTGCTCTGGGGATTCGTGGCACCCGACGGACAGCGATACACGGATACAATCACTTTGCGTGGTGGAGACTTTAACATGGACGGTTACCCGGACTTGTTGGCCACCCTCCGGTCAACTAGTAGCAAGCAGAAACAGTCGTTCCTCCTAGAAAACGTTGCGTGCGACTCGTGCGTCGGTTTCACTCGAACGTTTCAAGTAAAATGGCAGGCTTTGAATCCGTTTTACAACGAAACAACAATGGCGGTATTCTATGACTTCTATCAGGATGGTATTCTCGATGTGATCCTAGTGGAGCTAAATAAAAGCACTGGCACCTACCGCACTGCTGCGTTCAAGAACAGCTTGGATTATGATGCGAATTTCGTGAAAGTGATGGTATTAACCGGTCGCAATAACAGCATGTACCCAATCTCTCCGGGATCTCTCGGCAAGAAGAAGAGGACGTATGGCACGAATCTACCCGGACCCTCGATAGAGTATCGAACCACCACTCAAGATGGTAGTCTTCGAAATGCGTTTGCTGCCCAGCTGCCACAAAGCGCGCACTTTTCCCTCAACTTACCATACACGACCTTCGGTCTGGGCAGGACACCAAACTTTGTCGACGGTCTCAAAATAGGGGTAAGTAATAGAGATAATATTAAAGGTGGAAATTGAGCACCAATGTCTTGTCTGATAGAAATCCATCTTGACTTCATTTAATTTCTTTACTCTCCTTTCTTCTGTTGACTTCTGTTATCTGTTGCGATATACCACTTACATGATCTGTATTTTCCTGATTGAAACAGATGGGCGGCATGTCTAGGGAATGGCCGCAAATCATTCCAAACTCGCAGATGGTCGTCATACCGAATCCGATAGAGGAACCTTCGAAATGGAAGGCGCAGTTGTTTGTAACCCCAAGCAAACTGATTCTATTGAGCGCTGCTGCGTTGACCGGGACTTGCGGCTTGATTTCGTTCATAATCATGGCCTTGTATTGGAAGGAGCGAAGGGAGGATAAGATCGAGAAGTTACAAGAGGCGCACAGATTTCCCTTTGATGCTATGTAAATGTGTAAATGCGAGGGTAGAACTTGTGAATAATTTGTTGCTCGCTCTCTCACCCTCAACGAATGTGTATATTTATTTCATTTCTCGACGTGTAAGTGTATCATAAACGGCAAATAAGTTGGGTGATCGATCGATCGATCGATTGTTAAATTGAAGTCGCTTGTAGCACGGATATGGAAAACGTGTATCGATAAACATGTACTTGAACGCGTGGGGAAACAAGAAGAAATAGGAAAATATACAGGAACGATACACGCGTGAATTTATAAAGTATTTTCTGTACATGCTTCCGCTTCCCTTTTCTCTTCCCCCCTTTTCCATCTTCATTTGGCTCCTTAGAACATGATCGGCACCGATCAAATTGACAAGTTCATTCGTTACTCTTTGGGCTTTCTTAGAAAAACAGGACTCGTCGGTATGTTTCATCTCGCTTCGCGGTCGACGCGACACATCGGATACGAAATATTACGCGTATAATAATATCAATATGTATATATATATATATATATTAACAAATGATCTTTACCAGATTGGTTTTGGTCGCTGCGCTACTCGCGGTACATGCGCCCCCACCATCGTCAGGGGCTAGATTAACTGGAATGCGCTACTGGCAACGATCGTTTTTCACGGCTGGGTTCAAATCATTAAAATAAGGATGAGTCATCGCTTCTTCCGCCGACAATCGTAATGCCGGATTGCACACTAACAGTCTCTGGAATAAATCAGGGAAACGTTGAGCGACGCGTTTCGGTTTGTTGGACGCAGTTTGAAAGAAAAACGTAGGATCTCTGGATCACTACTGCACTCTCCTTGACAATGTAGGTTCGTTATTACCTGCAACAAGTCTCTGCCTCTGGCGTTCAGTTTTGGCGTAACATGAGCCAATCCTTGGCCAGGGTGATACGGAGGGAACGGCTTGTAGCCGTTATAGTCGGGGAGCGTAGTGAAGTCCGGCCAAGTCTCTTCGGTCGGTGTTCCGAGCATCTTGAATATCAGTTTAAGTTGATCCTCCACATCCGACCCAGGGAACAACGGACTCCCAGCGTTCGCCAGTTCTATGAGCAGTTAAAGAACCGGGAGAAAACCGAGAACTTTCTGAGAAAACCGTGCGTAACTACTCACCAGCGAATATACATCCTGCGCTCCACATGTCTATGGACGTTGTATATAACTTGGCGCCGAAGAGAACGTCTGGCGGACGATACCATAATGTGACTACTTCTGCAGAGTAACATTTCACTGGTATTCCAAACGCTCTCGCAAGTCCAAAGTCTGCTAGTTTCAACTCCCCATTCTAGAAATTGATTAGCAACCGTTTTCTACAACTAGAGACAATTCCCTGTTCGATGGACAACAAGGCCATCTTACCTTGTTGATGAGCAAATTTTGTGGCTTCAGATCCCTGTGCAGTACGTTCCGACTGTGACAAAATGCTAATCCACGCAGCAACTGATATCTGAAACGATTAATCAATACATAACAGGTGGCACACGTTGTTTACAGAGATTCTTTCGAATTTCTTACAGAAAGGATTTGACAACATCCAAGTCTATCTCTCCATTCAGACTATCAAAATACTTTTTCAGATCCTGATCGCAGTGTTCGAAGACTAGAGTCAGTTTCTTGTCGCTGTGCAACACGTCGTACAACCTAACTATATTTTTGTGTTTTAGTTCCTTCAACAAACAAATCTCTCTGAGCGCGGACGACGGTACACCCTGTTCGAAACAGAAGAAGGGCAATGAGCGTGTAACAATACGCGTGGTCGGCCAATTGTCACTAAGTAGTTAAAGGAACGTACTTCGTCGTCATCGTCCAAACGTACTCTTTTCAGGGCGACGATTTCGTGAGTCTCTCGATTCTTGGCTTTGAAAACGGTTCCATAAGTGCCTGGAAAAACGTAGAGAACGTTAATGCGATCCGAAAACAGTGCGCGTCTTTCGTTGGAACTGTCAAGAGAATGCACTTTGTCAAGCGACACCGGCGTCGTTTCCAGTCCACGTAATCGTACGCGCGCATCACACTGGCTTCGAAACCGAACAAATTATTGGAATAATATTCAAAACACACCTACCTTCTCCTATTTTCTCGAGTTTCTCATATTTTTGCATATTTTTGGCGATCCTATGGGCGGAATAGTCGCAGAGTGGTTAGCGCTGCACTCGGGAACGATCGTGCGCGAAAACACCGGTGCAGATGGCAGCACGCGTCCGTACGTCTTTGCCGTCGAGGCATCTGGTATATTTTACGTTTACGTGTAATATCGTCGACGAACTATTTACAATATGTATGCCTTATGTCATTCTCACGTGGCGATGACAGTTACTTGACAGTTATTCGAAACGCAGAAAATTGACCGGTAACGATAGAAGCAGGAATACGAACAACGAACCATACGAAAGGTTAACAATTCGATCCGTTCGATCTTCGACGCGGCGTAAACTCTTTGCGACTATCGAAAATCGCGACTGTGAAACGAAATGCAAATGCCAATCAATAAGTAAAACGGCAATTTAAAGCTGGAACGGCACGCGACCTGCACAATAACTCTGAGCAGATAACATCGGACATGCTCATTTGCGACGACCTACACGAGAGGGCAAATTAAAATAAATAAAAAAAACACGTGCCTCTCAAGTACGCACATCATGTATACTCGATTCACCAACGATTACTGTACACACGTGTGCACAACAATCGGAGATATATGGATGAATAAGAAAAGGTCTGCTATACAATTTCACTTTTTGTGGCCGAACGACAGAATGCGACCGTACTCCAAATTTCTCTTCAGGTTCAAACGATTCAAATTACCCGCCACGTGCTACGCGCAGCTCAACGTCCCCGTAGCTATAGCCGTAACCTCTGTTTACTCACCGCGCTCAATCCATCTCGTTGCCGCTAGCTTTTCAAATCTTTTCTCTTTCGAATGTTCGAAACTGCAAGCAATTTGATTCTTTACACAGCGAGGCAGAAAGCTTCCATACGGATCTGGGACGGATCGAATTAAACGTCCTTGTGCAGGATACGCGAAACAACCTCTAAACGCGTGCCCCACGACTAGCATGATTAACGAGCACGCGTAGGTAATTTAACAATGCACAATGTAATATGCGGCTAGTTGCTTCGATAGCTTGGCTCGCTTTATAATATATAATAAATAATATATAATATATAATATATAATATATAATATATAATATATAATATATAATATATAATATATAATATATAATATATAATATATAATATATAATATATAATATATAATATATAATATATAATATATAATATATAATATATAATATATAATATATAATATATAATATATAATATATAATATATAATATATAATATATAATATATAATATATAATATATAATATATAATATATAATATATAATATATAATATATAATATATAATATATAATATATAATATATAATATATAATATATAATATATAATATATAATATATAATATATAATATATAATATATAATATATAATATATAATATATAATATATAATATATAATATATAATATATAATATATAATATATAATATATAATATATAATATATAATATATAATATATAATATATAATATATAATATATAATATATAATATATAATATATAATATATAATATATAATATATAATATATAATATATAATATATAATATATAATATATAATATATAATATATAATATATAATATATAATATATAATATATAATATATAATATATAATATATAATATATAATATATAATAAATAATATATAATATATAATATATAATATATAATATATAATATATAATATATAATATATAATATATAATATATAATATGTGTAATATATATATACCGTCGCGATGTTTGCGAACCAAGTTTTGGAAGAACTGAAAACTGCAAACTTTAAAGATACGTGGTAAAAATTCGCTTTGTGTGTTTCCAGAGATGTTTCGCCGCGATTATCGATGTTCGCTCCGTTGTTTTCACGGAGAGAAGTTCAGGCGAGTGCCAGGGAACGTCGCTCGTCGTCCGTGCAGAATGTCTGACAGCGAGGAAAACTAGTCGTCGGGTCGAATGAAACGGTTCGTTGATTCGAAATCAGGATGTTTCAATTTTTCGGCGAAGGGATCTCGATGATCGTGACCTTAGCGGCCCTGTTCTACGTCTCTTGGCGAGTAAGCCTCAATGAACGCTACTCGACGCCGTACATCAGATCTATCATAACTCGCGGTATTTAGGTTTTAGCGGCAATGAAGGAGCGACGTAAGATCATGGCGGAGATGAGAGAAGTTTCTTCGAGCGTAATGTACACCATACTTACACTGGATGCAAGTAATGTTACAACAGATGCCTCGGTTTCGTAGGTTCAGCAGGCGCGTGAAAATATCGAGTACATCCGCGATCAGGTTGCCAGAGCCATGGAAGAGGTGCGTTCTATCCCCGTCACCTGTTACAACGGAGAAGTCTCCCGACAGAGTTTGCCAGCCTGCCCGCTCACAAATCTGGACGCGACCCTAATCTAAGCGATACAATAGAATCTCTGATATCTGAACTCGCGATCAAAACACGCTTCAAGTGTAATATAGTAAAATTCAAGGCGATATATTTATTATATGTGCTGTAAAGAGATCAGTAAGGATTCAATTCAGAGATTGGAAGGGTTCTAAAAATAACCGTTTCAAGTTATTATATATCGGTTCTGACTAAAACAGTTACGAAGGATCGAGAAAATTTCGCAACTGTTATAAGGTATTTTAAAAATTGTTACTTTTCGCTTCTGAATTTTGAAGACACCGAGATCGATGCAAGCCAGATCCGATATATCGAGTTCTGAGACGTTTATTGGTTCTTTCAAGAACCAAAATCGATGTCCGCGCAACTGTTCTATTATTCGAACGTCTATGCTCTTTAGATTAGAGTTCGGATAATCAAGGTCCTATCGTATCGTAGCGTCGACATTTTCGTCTAGGCTGATCCGCCGCAATGATTTCGCAGATAAAAATGGACGTTGCCCAGGAATTGCGAATCACAGATCGACTGACTTCCGAGAGCACGAAGGTGTCCGCGGCGTTGCAACGATTCTCGGAGGTCGAGGCGAACCTGCTAGAGGTAATAGGATCGTTGGCCGTTGGTCGATGGCTTGCTTCTTTAATTTGGAATTGGGGACAGTTGGTCCGGATGGACAGGAACATGGAGAGCGTGAGGATCGAGACGCCGGAGGATGTGCACGAGGAAATCCGAAGGATCGTCGCGATGGTTGAGAACAGGAGACGCGAAGATCAAGAACGTCCGCTGAACGGGATGGACATAACCGGGGCCGCGATTGGGACCAGGAATCCTATATCGAAGTTCTCCGCATGCGGTCCTCGAGATCCCGCGTTCGACCGACCGCGAACCCCGACCACGCCGGAAGTCCGTCTGCTCGGTGATTCGGCGAGATCGTAGGCAAATAAATAGAGAAACTACAGCTGGTCTTGTCTGCCAATTGGTCTATTTTCGCGACAGACGTGTCGCTGCTACAGAGATTACGACGCCGTAGGATCAGCGGTCGAGAGGGTTCGATCCGCGGAACACCGGATAACGATCCGATCGTCCGAGGCCGGTCCAACCGACGCGATCCCTCCTACGATTGTCCGTGGTTCTCTTGAAGAAGTCGTCGAACGGTGTCCTGTCGATCTCGTCGATGTTCCGTTTGGCGAACCGTTCGGCCGGCGACAGATAGATCCGTCGGACGAGCGAGCCGGGATCGATCCATCCGCTGAAAACAAGCCGGCCACGCCGGAATTCCCGTGAGAATTCGCTCGACCGTCGGCGCGTCTCGCTTACCTGGGCAAGGAAAGTCCGCGGGCTAGGTCCGACGTCCTCCCGTACGCCGCCAAGTCACGGAGACGGTCCAGACGACCACGAGCGCCGACTATGTCGGTCGGGTCGCTGTCGTCCAGCGTATCTTGAACGAAATCGAAATGAACTCGAGTCGCAGAGCTGCCGAACGAGCGAGCGAAGCGAGTCGCTCGCAAAGCTTAACGAGAGGCCGTAGTAATATTCGAAAAATAATACGGTTATGGTAGCGCAGTTATGGTAGCTGTCCGTTTGACATCTATATCGCGGGTCCGACGCAGTAGCAGGCGACTGTGACCGTGTTTCGAGAGTCCTCTTTCAAAAGACGGGCTCTTTTGACGGAGGCCCTTTCAAGCAACGAGGCTGGACACCAGTTTTCCGAGCACGCTTTAAGCAATTCGACACCGAATCGTTCGATAATGTATCGAGAGCTCGATGCGACACGGGAGAAGGATGTTTCAGTTCAGTCGGGATCGTTCGTACGTACGATTTTTATTGTCTAATGCAAGGAATTCGATACAAAGACGATCCTATCGTCGGCTATGCTCGCGGACGTTCTTCAACCGAGCGAAGAACGGGACGAAACTAAACCTGCCGTCTCTTATTGCCCGGTTGGAGCGTCGATCGCGTCACGCGAGTCGTTCTCCGCTGCGCGGGACTGCAGCTGGTGGACGGCGCGTGCCAAGTTTCGCACCAGATTTCCACCACCGATCTGATCCAGGTTTCGTCGGAAGTCGTCACGGGGGCCGCTCAAACTGCGCACCAGGTTCCCGCCGCCGATCTGATCCAGATTTCGCAAGTACCGATCGTCCGCGGAGCGCACCAGGTTCCCGCCTCCGATCTGATCCAGATTTCGAGAGTACCGATCGTCCATGGAGCGCACCAGATTCCCGCCACCGATCTGATCCAGATTTCGAGAGTACCGATCGTCCGTGGAGCGCACCAGATTCCCGCCACCGATCTGATCCAGATTTCGAGAGAACCGATCGTCCATGGAGCGCACCAGGTTCCCGCCACCGATCTGATCCAGATTCCGCGAGAACCGATCGTCGACGGAGCGAAGCAGATTACCGCCACCGATTTGATCTAGATTTCGATCGAACCTCGCGACCTCCGTGGCCGGGTCTGACTGGTTCGAGGGCCGGCGAGCACCGAACCATTCCCGATCCCGGCTCGATTGCGGCTCCCCTTTTGCCGCCGTTTGCCCCGTCGGACCTGGAACGATCGGGGAGCGTAACCGCGACGATCGATCGATCGGTCTTCGATCCCAACCCTGGACGAAACGAGAAGCTCCCTCGCCGCGCGAGGCCGCCGGACAACGGGACGATGCGACGAGACACGTGGAACGACGGACGACGACGACGGTCGAGAAGCAAGGGGGACAAGCACGATCGGCGCACAAACACGGAGCACAAAGCGCGGCGCGACAGACGGTTTCACGGTTCGACGGTCAAACGACAAACCGGAAAACTTACCGTGGTCCTCGAGGTACGCGGCGAGAATCTCCGCCGCCGTCGGCCCGTACTGGCTCCGTTGCATCACGTTCTGCCCGGCCTGCAACCAACAATCGTTAAAAGCTCGTCCCCGCGCGAGCTTGCCGCCGGCACGCGAGCACGACACGCGTCGGCCAGCACGCGATCCGGCAGGAAGGTAAATGGGAACGTAACGACGCGTTCGATAACTCGTCGAGATCGGCGCGGATACGGCCGACGAGGACAGTCTTCAGCCGACGGGGCTGTGCTACCCGGCGTAGGAGGACCTTCGATTTCGGGGTCGGAGAGAGGACACGTCGTGGCGCAACAAGTTGCGTACCGCTGGCTCGAACCGAGCGACGAGTGAACGTTATTCTTACCGAAGGGTACGGAAGACGCGTTTTAAAATGTTTTATACTATTTTCTGGTCGCTTCTACGTTCTTTTTATTACGATTATCGAATTAATCTAGACAAAAATGTAGACTATACTTAGATTAACATCAATTTAATTATCGGCAGGTAACGAATTAACGTGTCGCGATCGGATCTCTGCTACTTTCAACGGTGGAACTGACGGAGAGGAGACGCGGACGATGCGGAATGGAAGCGACGAACGGGTGGACGCAGTGGAAAATAATCGGATCCGAAATGCAAACATGCTTCGACTGTTTGTTGAGGGTACAACGCGCCGATCGCAAATGGTTCACAAACAAGTTTCCCGACGCGCGTTCGCTGTCCGCGCGGATTTTACCTGAACGGGACCGGCTGCTACCCAGGCTGCCGCGATCGACCAGAGGAAGATCGGCAGAGCGCAGTTACCCAGTGTCGTCATCGCGCGTCCTAAGGTCGAGTACGAGCAGCGTCGGATATGTGTCGGGTGTTCGCGTGCGAAGAATCGCGTTCCGTCTACAAGTCCTTCTAGTCTCTTTCCAACGAATATATAGAGGCGGCACGGTGGCGAAGGGGTGAAGAGGCGCGTGGACGCACGCGCCCCGACGCGATACCGGCTAACTCGAACCCGTGGGCACGCAGGACGCGGGACGAAGGACGAAATGTAAAAGGCGACGCCACCGAAACCCATTAAACGATTGGCCCGCATCGACGGGGTGGGTGCTTTTGCGACGCCCTATCTCGCCGCGTTATCTTACAAACAACCGGCACACCTAATTGAGAGTAGTTCTCCCTCGACGGCGATCGCCGGCCGGTCGATCGCAGTTTCCCTGCCGGCAGATGCTCGAGAAAGCTTCGTCGAGAACTGGTCGAAAAAATCTCGCCCCGAATCGTTCGTTTCGTCGGGCGATTTTTCAAGACCGCCGGCTCTTCGTGCGGGACGCGAAAAGGCGTCCGGAAAATGGGAAAGGGGTTGCTCGTTAAAAGTCGTTCTAACGGGAGCGGCGACGCGAATCGGGCGAAGGGAGCGCGCGGCCCGGTGCCCGTGCGATCGATCTTGCTCGCATCCGATGCAGAAAATAAATCCTGGAGGCCGTGGAACGCACATAAGTGCGTGGCCACGCGTGAGCGCGTCGCGATGCGTAAAAGCGCGACACACTAAATCGCGCCTACGAATCGCCCGTAAACATCCAATTCGATTATCCGCGACGCGTTAACGCTTTACGAGGCGCGAGCACGCGTCGACGAATCGACCGTTCGATCGCGCGCGCGCGACTCCGAGCGTCGGGATAGCAATTGCATTGTTGTATTCGTCGGTGTCTCGAAACGAGGGAACGCTCCGAGATCTTTTTGATCGCTTCGGCCGTGGTCCTTTGGGAGTTACGAGCTTTCTTCCTCGCCTGCTGTTTCCGCGCGTTGCCGGACGTCGCGTCGAATCGATCGCGACGAATGGAGATAGCGATAGGCCACCGGGTATCGGCACTCCGGACGATGTTTACTATGCAGTCCGTCGAAAGTTTACCTTTCCGCGGTTTACGCTCAAAATCTCCCCCCGGCCCGCCCGCGGAACTTTCGCTTTCCACTCTATCGTCCCGCGACCCTCTTTGATAGCGATCGACGCCTGAAAGCCACTCGACCAGGCTTACGCCCGTTAAAAGACTCGAGGCTTTTATCCTAATTTATCTTAACGCTGTCCGATCCCTGGATCGTACGCGATCTGGATTTGCCTTTGCTTCCGCGCTCTTTCTTGACTCTCGAATACAAGCTGCTTTCGTCCCTCGGACTTTGTGCTAGCTGCATGTGTTGCGCCACGCGGGTAAATGTTCCAGTTACAATGGGTAATTCGTTTAACTCGTTATTTAAATCATGGTAAATTTGTCGAGCGTTGAATATCGACCTGAAAAACTGCGAGAATATCAACGACGTTTAATTAATGAAACCGAAAATAGAAGGATGAAATTCACTTAGAAAAAAAATAGTTTAATTCTTTTCTATGTTAACAATACTAGTTTTGTTCGGATTGTTCAATTAGTTGCTGTATACGTGAATTTGTAAAAAATGTTTATAACATTAGCGTCACCCATGTTTGACCGACGCGGTACTCCACGTGTTGAATAGTTCATCAGCTAGATATTATAAGCTAAAGTACGGTAAATTCCCTCCAGTTGTCCTTTAACTTGTAGACAAACATGGACAATTTGGAATTATTATTATTAATTATTATTCGAGCCACGCGGCCCATTTTTATAGTTGTCGACACTCGGCGGCTATAAAAACGAGCCGCGAGGCTCGAATAATCGCATCTCCTTTTCCGAAATTGTCCATTCATGTTCACAAGCTGAGGGACAATCGGAGAGAATTTACTGTACCATGCGTCGCGCATCGTACAGACGTCTCTATTCTTCGATTTCCAGTATGGCGTTGTTTTTACGTCGAAAGCGCAGCACACGTGACACAAAGAGCATACTATCAGGTTTAATTCGAACCGTCGGCAGTTAAAAAATTCTTAACGAAACACTTCTTAAAATCGACCCGAAGCAACCCCTCGGAACTCGGCGATCCCTTTCCCAGAGACATCGATCCGGAATTATCGATCTCTCGACAACGTAATTGAATTTTCGTCAAGACCCGAATAAACCTGTCGCGATGTTCGAGCTTCCAGCTTTCTTTCGAGCCGTCGAAAGTCCAAAAATTCCTACGCGACGCATTCGAAAATTGATTCGAGGTAACCCATCAATATCCGATCATTATTTCAAAAGCACGGAATTTGTCGATTTTCAACGTGAACTCGAACTTTCTTTCAACCCCTTGTCGTACTTTAACATTACATAACCTTGCCGTACTTTAACGAGTCTACCACGTAATAGGGATTTCCAGTTAGAATCTGTTAATCATGAATATTATTCCGTTCTTTTTCGTCCGAATAAGATTCTGATTTCTTGTCGTCGCGTACTTAAACGTTTAAGTAAACGTTTAAACGACACGCAATGAATATATAAATGAATATAAATCTAAGAAATGATATAATTCTTAGAAATGATCACAATCGCGAAAAGCTTCTATTCATTGCAATCATGAAGAAAATCGCACGGCAAGGGATTAAGTAAACTGCGATATTCCAGCTGAAATTTTGTATCCCGAAGAATTGAAAATTTCAACCAGAAAAGATTGCATTATCGTTTTCCATTGAAACATAAATGATCGCCTTATTTCCCATAAGAGGCAATGCTTACTCCGGCAAGAGACGATCTAGAAAGAATAAAGCTCCTAGAAGAATAAAGTGCCGTACAGCGCCAATTAGTACACGGCGAATCGGTGAAACTGTCCGCACAGCGCCGCCAATTAGTACACGGCGAATCGATGAAACTGGTCGACAATTGATACCGACGAGGATGAATTGCACCAGCGACAACAGCGCCGCCTGTGGCGAAATCCCGAAGCTTCGCTCACTAACTCCCGTAGCGGCAAAACATTGAAACCGTTAGACAACGTTTCCAACAGTTGATTTTGGCTAGTAGTTTGAGCGTTCTGCCACTAGGTCGAGATTATTTTCGCGAATAGCGCCATTTTTAATTCTCAGTTTACATCGCATCTTATAGAAATAGCGACAAGAATTATTCGTTTTCTATATTTACAATAATAAACGAACTTTTCTTGCATGATACAGCAGCAGGAGAATCTTCTGAATATTTCTGTACCCTCCGACTAGTTTTCTAACCTCTAAATTGGCAAATTCTATGCCATTTATTGCCCAAGTATTCTCTTCGCGGATAATTCGCCGAAGGGTAGTTTTCTAAAAATTAAATAACTCTCGAATTAACAGCTCAAATTCGACATTCTTGATCGCAAACTATTCGCAATGATTCCGCGCGTCGATCCTACATCTCGGGTTGCCATAATTACGTAAATTTAACGAATAAAATAGCGAGTAATTATTATTTATCGAATTAACAGCTCAAATTTGACATTCTTGATCCCAAATTATTCGCAATGATTCCGTGCGTCGATCCCACATCTCGGATTGTCATAATTACGTAAATGTAACGAATAAAATAGCAAGTAATTATTATTTATCGAATTAACAGCTCTCGAATTAACAGCTCAAATTCGACATTCTTGATCCCAAACTATTCGCAATGATTCCATGCGTCGATCCCACATCTCGGGTTGCCATAATTACGTAAACTTAACAAATAAAACAGCGAGTAATTATTGTTTATCGCTTCGTGTATTTAAAAGTGGTCATTCGGTGATCGCAACACATACATTTCTTTCATTATTCGATCCGTTACAATCATAAAACGGAGAATTGTAAAAATCCTTGTATTAATCGTAGCAATCTGTTACAGAGTAGCTGTTTCGTTTTTTACCTTCTGCTGATTCGCACCGTATCCTCGGTACATTTTCTCCCTTGGTCGATCGAACGGGTTCTATTCTGTAGGTCAACGGGTCCTGATGCATCTGGTCTGGTCCCACTTCAATCTCTGGCTCTCCTCCGTTGGACGTTTTCTGTGCATGATGTCGCGGAGCTTCTTCAACAGGATGAAATTCTCGCGCAGTATACGATCCTGCTTCTCCCGCTCCAGTTGCAACCCCTTCGCGTTCAGAACCACGTGCGGCCTGCCTTCCGGTGGATTCACGTCGATCGCGCAGGTAGCTCTTTTCACCTGAAACAAAATTTCGCATTCTACATTCATTTCCGAGATCTGGGCTGGAGAAACCTTCGATCACGGGTGACCTATTTTCTCTTCCTCTTTTTTTTTTTAAATTATAGGGACACGAGAATTCAGAAAATAAAATAGACTCATGTCGCACAGAAATTTGATTGTGTTTCGAATTATAGAAAATTGGTATATCTTTATTAACAAAGGAATTGCATGATTAATTGAATAAAAATTTAATTGTGTTAATTAATTAAAAATTTGATTGTGTTTCAAATCATAGAAAATTGGTATATCTTTATTAACAAAGGAATCGCATAATATAAAACATAAAAGATATAATAACAATTCAACTCAATTCGTTGTTGCAATATTTTGAGGTGGATCTGAGAAAAGGTGGAACATTTTCAATCTTGCCGTGCCCCAAAGAGTTCAGCGATAGAAAAGTGGTAATTTAAAGCCGAGGAAAAAGTTTAAATTCGAGGTAAAGTAAAGTAAATAATATAATATAATAGCGAATAGTATAAATATAAATAGTAAATAATATAATAGTAAATAATAATAATAAAGTAAAGTAATCGACCGGTCGACCGCGGTCAACATTTTCATGTCGATCATGCCAACCGTCGTTTTGTTCTGCCGTTTCGCCGGTTTTTGTCAAAGAAACCGCGAAATCGCGTATGCCGAAAGTCGACCGTACGTTGACCCGCGATCCGGCCGGAACAACATGGACGAAGCAATCGAGACTAGGGGCGGTTTACTGAAAAGTTCCGGCGAAGCTTTTTGGCACGAGGTCCGCGAAGGTCACCCGCGGTTTCTCTACTCACTTTCAGCCGGTGCCGTTTGTAAGCTTTCCGCTCCCAATCAGTCGGAGCGGAGGAACTCCTCTTTTGGCAGGACATGATCGCGAGGATCGACGAGACCCTGACTGCTCGCAGTTCCGTTGCCCTACACCGTCGCCTAGTTTCTTTAGCAACGCTTTAGCGACCGTATCGATCCGCTGCTTGTTTGCCGCGTTTCGGCCACGTTTCGGCCGCGTTTCGTCCGCCGCGAGGCGCGCGATCGCGAAAATCTCGGTCCTGGTCGATGCCGATTTTATTCCTCCCCCCCGGTTATGTCAATTACACCGAGCGGATTTTTCCGATTTTTCTGCTTCGATGCAGCGTTTTTTTTTGGAAATGTTCGTTCCGAGACGAAGCTTCGGGAATCAAGACGCACGCTCTGCGCACACCAAAGACGATTACAGAAGATTCGCCTCAGATTGACGCTCGGATTGCACACAAAAATGGTCAATTTGGGCTCGTTTTTGTGATCGTTGACAATCGGTAGTTGTAAAAAACGAGCCGCAAGGTTCGAACAATCGTGTCTTCTATAACCTAATTGTCCATTTTTGTGCGCGATCTGAGCGCGAATTAGGGAGAAATTACTGTACAGTAAATTCTCCCCAATTTTTATTCAGCTTGTAAACTGAAGTGGACAATTTGGGACGAGGAGATACGATTATTCGAGCTTCGCGACTCATTTTTATAATTGTCGACTAATTGTCGTCGAATCGTTGTTGAATAATTTTCTCAAATTGTCCATTTTTGTGCGCGATCTGAATGCGAATTAGGGAGAAATTATTAAACACTATATTCTCCCCAATTGTCCTTCAGCTTGTAAACTGAAGTGGACAATTTGGGACGAGGAGATACGATCATTCGAGCTTCGCGACTCAATTTTATAATTGTCGACAAATTGTTGTTCAATCGTTGTTGAATAATCTTCCCAAATTGTCCATTTTTGTGCGCGAATTAGGGAGAAATTATTCTACAATAAATTCTCCCCAATTTTCCTTCAACTTGTAAACTGAAGTATACAATTTGGAAGGAGGAGATACGATCATTCGAGCTTCGCGACTCATTTTTATAATTGTCGACAAATTGTTGTTCAATCGTTGTTGAATAATCTTCCCAAATTGTCCATTTTTGTGCGCGAATTAGGGAGAAATTATTCTACAATAAATTCTCCCCAATTTTCCTTCAACTTGTAAACTGAAGTATACAATTTGGAAGGAGGAGATACGATCATTCGAGCTTCGCGACTCATTTTTATAATTGTCGACAAATTGTTGTTCAATCGTTGTTGAATAATCTTCCCAAATTGTCCATTTTTGTGCGCGAATTAGGGGGAAATTATTCTACAATAAATTCTCCCCAATTTTCCTTCAGCCTGTAAACAGAAATTAACGATTGATAGGAGAAGATATGATTATTCGAACCTTCCAACGTATTTTTATAATTAATCAACAATACGAGCGTCGATCGGGCACAGTTCAAATCTAAAAAATAACGAGACTGAACTCAACAATTTCAAGACAAAGATTTCCTACGATAGCAAATACCGTCTCGATGATTTCGAAAGCTTGGAAGAAAATGTACAAAAAAAAAGATTCCTTTAATTAACAAAAGGTCACAGAAATTGTCGGACGCGAGCACATGGCGATGGAAGATTTACACGGTCGTTTTACGCGTTTCTGGTTCGAATTTCAGTCGGCCGCGCATACGGCAGGGGGGGGGGGGCAGCGGGGAGAGGGGTTTCCATAAAGAAGCGGGGCAAGAAATACGCGCGTGCACCAGCTCCGGGATCCCCATCGACGTGATTTCCCGTCGGAGGCTGGGATTGGCGAGGCTGCTGGACCAATCCGAGCCGAACAGGGGCGGGCGGTCCCGTCGACGCTGGTTTTTCACGGCGGCCGTCGCGACGCCGCGTCGGACGCACGCGTCAAATTATTCATTTCGCCGTGCTTTGCATTCATGGCGACGCATTCCCGTCGTCGACGATTCTCCCCCCTCCTCCGTCGACGCCGCGTTCCGACGGCGAATGACCCGAACCGCCGAGCTTCGCGAAACACTCGATCGATTTAATGGGAAACGAAGAAGACCTCGCGATTTTACCGTATTTCCGGTCGATGATGTTGCATCGTAAAAAATAACAAGGCATATCTCAGTTTTTGTTTTCAAGTTCTCGTTTTAATTTCTTGGAAATTAAATTTATGTTAATTTATTTATTTCTTCTTGCTTCGATTTCGTCGAGACGTTTCGTTGGACCGACGTATAATTCGTTTGACCGGATTATAAATGAACATAATTTGTCACGCGTTTATTATCGTTTATTCGCAGCGATTTCGCAGGCTGTATATAGTATATATAGTATATAGTATATAGTATATAGTATATAGTATATAGTATATAGTATATAGTATATGTAGTAGATATATATATAGTATATATGTATAGTATACTACTATATATATACTACTACTATACTACTACTACTACTACTACTACTACTACTACTACTACTACTACTACTACTACTACTACTACTACTACTAGTACTACTACTATATATAGTACAGTATATAGATAGTATATACTATATATAGAAAAGGTAAAAAAAGTAATATACAAAAATGGCCGACCTGTTTAGAATTGTCGGTGTGCCAGCATTGTCACGGAAATGGGCCGGAACGCTGCAAATATTTATCAAATTTTGCTTGCGATCCACACAACGATGCGCAAGAAAAGGTTACCTTTAAATGAAATATGGCCAAATATTTGACTAATTTCTGGTAGAGCGAAAACGGCCGATATTCTTGCAATCTTTCCCAGGTTGAAACTTTCAATTCTTCGGGACGCAAGATTTCGGCTGGAATATCGCAGTTTACTTTTCTAAGTTTAAGATTATAGTATATATATACTATATACTATATACTATATATACTCGTATATACTATATACGTATATACGCACACAGCTTACATAAACACACGGCATGTGCTGATCTATTCGAGCCAATGCTCACGGTAACAGCAAGTCGATTACTATTTCTATTTCTGAATTTTTGTTATAACTTATTAATAAAGCTCTATATGACTTATGTTTACATAATATTTTTTTTTAACTTTGTGCCATAGAATACACTGACAAAGTTTGAACATTAAATCCTGGGACACCCTGTATATATACTATATATACTATATACAATAACTATAATAATAAGAACTACGAGACACGTTTTATGAGTTTTTCGTTACGGACACAGAAATCCAAGGGACAACTTAATATTCTCAATTTTCCTTCGTCGTCCCAACTAATCTCTACAAATTTTTCCGTTTTCTTTCGCTAATTCCCCAATAAATTGGCTTGGTATCCAAATAAAGTTTAAAACGTTCCGGCCAATTGCCGGGAAGGGAAAAGGTGTTCCGTTTTAGGCGTCGACCGAATTCCCGTGCCCGACCGTAATTGTGCTCCCCGGAAAAAAGCGTTCTTCCTTGCCCTGCTCCAAATAATCAAAATCTTCGTGGTCTCCATCGTAAAGACCGGCACCGCCGGCGACCGACAATTAGGATAGCCGTAAAACCGTTGTTGTAAGGTCCTTCGAACGTGGCGTGAAAGTCACCGACCAAGTCATCGACCATTGGCTAAGTTTTACAATTTTGTGTCGCCCGTAATTTCGGATTTTATTAACAACGGTTGTACGACGAAAGAATCGAGGATCCCTCGAAGGACTCTCGGGACTGGCCTGCCAGGCGACGGCCGGGGTCTAATCGGGGATGCAGGGCAAAAGTAGCGGCAATAAACACCGGCGGTGAAGAACGTCGGTCGTAAAACACGAACGTCGCCGTAAACCACGTCCCGAAGATGTTGCTGCTCCTCTCGGTTCGACGCGGCCGAACATTCGGAGCGGGGATCTCCTTACCTGTGCACCCTCGCCTCCAGCTACCCTCTCGCCAAACCGAGGCCACCCATAGAAAACGTTTATTACACCATATCGTGACCTCGGAAAATGGCCGAACTGTTTAGAATGATCGGTGTGCCAGCATTGTCACGGAAATGGGCCGGAACACTGCAAACATTGATCCAATTTTGCCTGCGATCCGTTGTGCCCGTCGAACTTGCTTGCACAACGATGCGCAAGAAAAGGTTACCTTTGAATGAAATATGACCGAATATTGGACTAATTTCTCCGAGAGCGAAAGCGGCCGATATTCTTGCAATTTTGGGCAATCTTTCACAGGTTGAAAATTTTCAATACTCTTCGGGACACAGGATTTTGGCTGGAATATATATCGCAGTTTACTTAACACGTTCCGTGCCGAGCTTTTTTTACTCGAATCTTCACACTTTGATATTTTACTAAAACTTGATGTATTACGTGCAATTATTAATTCTCGTACACATAACAACGTAACAAAAACTTATCAACGCCCATTCTTGCGGTGGAAATTGATTCTTCGGTTCTAAATTTCTTGTAAACAATTTGTTCAGTTCACTAAGTGAACATGCAAGCGTGTACCATCGATGGTACACGTGGCACGGAACGTGTTAAACCCTCGTCGTGCTGTTTCCTTCGTGGCTGCAACGATTAGAAGCTTTCCGATTGTACTCGTTTCTGAGAAGATAAGGGACGATTTATTATTATTTGTGTATTATTTATTTATTATATTCATTGCGTGCCGTTTTGCTTAACGTTTACTTAAACGTTTAAGTACGCGACGACAAGAAATCAAAATCGAAAGAAAGGAAATAAGGCGATCATTTATGTTTCAATGGAAAACGATAATGCAATCTTCTCCGGTTGAAATTTTCAATTCTTCGGGACACAAAATTTCGGCTGGAATATCGCAGTTTACTTAATCCCTTGCCGTGCGATTTTCTTCGTGGTTGCAATGAATAGAAGCTTTTCGCGATTGTGATCATTTCTAAGAATTATATCATTTCTTAGATTTATATTCATTTATATATTCATTGCGTGTCGTTTAAACGTTTGCTTAAACGTTCAAGTACGCGACGACAAGAAATCGGAATTTTATTCGGACTAAAAAGAACGGAATAATATTCACGATTAACAGGTTCTAACTGGAAATCTCTATTACGTGTTAGACTCGTTAAAGTACGGCAAAGTTATGTAATGTTAAAGTGCGACAAGGGGTTGAAAGAAAGTTCGAGTTCACGTTGAAAATCGACAAATTCCGTGCTTTTGAAATAATGATCGGATATTGATGGGTTACCTCGAATCAATTTTCGAATGCGTCGCGTAGGAATTTTTGGACTTTCGACGGCTCGAAAGAAAGCTGGAAGCTCGAACATCGCGACAGGTTTATTCGGGTCTCGACGAAAATTCAATTACGTTGTCGAGAGATCGATAATTCCGGATCTATGTCTCTGGGAGAG